ATATCACTACCCACACATAGGATCAGTGCCTAATACTATTAGTGATCCTACTGATACTAGTTCAATTCTACTCGAGTATTAACACCAACGGGCGGAATTTGCGTAGGGACTATACAACTTACGGTTCTCGCCGGAGGAACTCGGACTAGTTTAGTCTAATGAGAGATGAGCCGAAGGGAAACCAAAGGTCTGAAGAGATAGTAGGCAGGCTGGGCCCGTCTTTGGTTCAGCCTGGCCTACCTGGCCCGTTGGGAACATTGGTAACTACTGTGGATTTCCAGAATCAGCCTTACTTACGGAACAACAGATACTGGCAAACCCTCAAAGATCTACTAAAAACCGTCAAACCCCACCTTGTACCGCCTACATATTCCCTTTTGTGGAAGCCGTAGCCACACAACACACCCCCTTTAACTACAAATTTACGGTGGCAGCGTTTGTTGGCGGGGCTCTGAGTTCTCTTTTCTACTCCAGTGTGGGGTTAGCCTCTGCAATCCACAATACCTCTCACGCATGCTCGTTTCATGCCTTATATCCTCCCTCGCTGGAACTCCCCCGGCGCCTATTTTTCTTTCAAGCAATTACTAGAAGAGTCCGGAGAGTCTAAGCGGACCCTATTTCTGGGAACCCAGGGCGGTAGCCACCAGCAGTCCCCCCGTGGAGCCCCACCGGCCCCCCGTACGGTTGGGAACACTGTGTCCCTCACAGGCGGGGCTTATCACTAGCACTTTCTGCTCAGCCCCTCCCTTCCTATTCTCACCGCAAGAACCAACACACAACCCGTTTACAACCTCTCTTCCCCCTTGCTTTAATCTCTCCCTACTCATCACCCCGTGGTTAAATCATTCCAAAACCCTTCCCTTCTATCTCCTGTTTCTCCTTTGTACCCCTAACATCGCCCTGTAAGGGTCTGGATGAAGAGGGTGAGGATGTTTGTTTATTTTTTGTGGGCATGAAGAACTACCTAACATCCTATTGGTGGAGACCTCAATTCTACAAATTCCAAGGCTTTACCGACGGTCGTAAGTTTCTAGTGGGAACTGTGCACCCGGGGGTTAGCGGCAAGAAATTATTTTCTAGAGAAGCAGATTGAACAAGCAAGAAAGAGGAGCAGGTTGTTAAATTGTACGGTTTACTTACTGTATCTTGTACGCTCATATACATAGTTGTGTAACTCATACATGCGACTATGTATGACATATAGATATTTCCTTGGATGGGCGGCTGTGCACATGACTAGACTTGGGTACATATAGAGGGAGTTTATTTCCTAAGTTATCTCTTAGCTCGATAGCGCAAAGCGGGAAATTCTATCTTACGGCCTAAGACTATATTGCGTTCAACTCTCGCTGCAAGCTTTATATCTAAAGACAATGGTCAGAGTACCAATATTTTCACCGGTACTCCCATGCTTCAGGGTAGATGAAGGGACATTTGATAATGTACTTCATCAATGTCCCGTATCGAAGCTTGCATGGAGAAATGTTAATCAAAAAGTGATTGATTTTTGGCACCAATGCCGAGATCCTTAAGTTTCGGAGGGGGTAAAGTTGGTAAATGCCTTCGTCAGTTTTGATTCCGAGTTTTAAGTTTTAAGGATTTTCCTACCATCAATAGGGAGCAGGGAGATATTATTCGTTTTAACTCTTCTTAGAAGTTTATGATTCTCAATACTTATTTTTTTTGATTTAGGTTTTACCTTGTAACCTAGAGGTTGTCTCAGAAAACTTACTAGACAATGTATCATACCCCTAAGCAGCCGAATGCTTAGTTTTGTCTTCTTTTTTTTTAAAGAAAAAACACATTTACCGCCAAAACATGGAATAGTGGTTACGAAACAACCAAATACCCAATTTCCGGTGACATTAGCTTAGCCGGTGAGGGAGATTAAGAGGAGCTCTGCTTGATATGTCTAACCCGCTACCGCGTCCCCACTAATTGAGACGAGGAGCCCGTATATGGGAATGTGTTCCTACTAGGTCAGCTCTTCAGACTAGAAGCCCTGTGTACTAATACCATGGCCTGCTAATATATTTGTATAGTCCCCACAAATACCAAGTAGTGTGAGCAAACGACAGCTAGTTTAGGACGACAGATAACCACCTTTATTACTATTTAATTCGTAAACTCTCTACTACCACAACACCTCTCTAGACAGTCATCAGAGGTACCCCGAATCGCTAGACTGCCGACCTTTTTTTTTTTACGACGCAGCTCTCTCACACTACTGCCAGCGCAAGCTCCTTTATATATCTAGCCAGTTGAAAAGGATTTAGTCTAGTTGTACCTAGTTTTGCTCATACAGAGAAAACCATACAGGCATCCCCCAATGATGCGACCCTGCGGAAGATCCCCGCTGTATTTTCCACCAAGCCAGAGATATCTGTTGATTCTTTTTTACTCTTCATACTTTCCTCCTTCTCTCTTTCTCCCACTCCATTCGGCCCCCCCGGTATGCTTCGCCACCGCCGGGCTAATGGGGAAAGGGCAAATTTGAGGGTAAGCTACAATTAACCGGATTTATCATATCAGCACTGATATGGTTTCGGCCGCCTATACTGTGAACCTAATATTTTGCAACGGGGGACGCCTTGGCATCAAGAATTACGTACATAGGCCCAACTCCTGCCAAGCCCACAGCTCCTAGAGTTATTATCAAGCCACCATAATTTTTTAAGATGATAACACATTATAGATGTATGAGGTGAACTTGAGCCTCAAGAAAATATAAATCTCATAGGAGAGTCTCAGGCACTTGACGTGTTATAGCATTAATCAATAGTGTATCATTATCTCATGATAGAAACTCTGCGGCTTGAACATATCAAAAATAACTATGAACCCTGGGAGAATCGAACTAGGTTCCACTTTTTAATTTGTGGCTGAATGCCAAGGCGTCCCCCGTTGCAAAATATTAGGTTCACAGTATAGACGGCCGGAACCATATCTATTATACAAAACTACTTTTTGGGGAGTGGCCTCTCACAAGCTCCACCTCCGGTATTCTCCTAACCCCGCTTTTCGCCTTGCTATTCAGGAAGCTCGATATGAGTTTCAACACCATACTCAATCCTTAAAATTCCTACCCTAACATGTCTGAACTTGGAGCTTCATAGGCTTGTTGGGATGGCCCTCATCGTGGGTTTACAATTATCCTCCTCCCTCATGTATGATAGCATTTGGGAGTCTTCACTCTTTCTGGGTCTGCAGTCTCCGGCGCCTCCGGCACACCCTAGCCCTAGCCAGTCTTCGCCCATAAGGTTTCAGTATATTCTGGGCTCTTTGTATTGTCTCGACGCTCCGAATTTTCTCGGTTTGCATATCTATGACAAAACTGCTTGTACTGCGCTCTACAGTCTGTAAGCCACCTTTGCCCTCTCCCGAACCAGATTGCTGAATTGGCCCTTGCTACTTGCTCGTCCTCGAAACTTGTGTTCTTTTTTGGGAGTGGATGTTATGAGATTTTTTTTTCTTTTGTTATTGAAGTTTACTTGTGGTGTCTTTCTTTTCTACCCGCCTCTCTTGATTTGGTGGAGCTCTATCTTTGCTGGGTTCGAGGAGGATGTGCGGTTGGTTCCATACCAGAGGGATTGAGGGATTGGAGGACATTGGACAGTGTTGGGATGATTACTTTTAGGTTTTCTTGTCGTATCCTAGTGGTTGTATACAGCGGTTGTGACAATAAACAATCAAAGGATTTAACAAAAAAAAAACAGGGGAATGACCGGTCATGTGAACGCACGTGCCAGGAAATGAGCGGTGCGTCGAGAAATGACAAAAATGGAAAACGAATACCAATCAACTTGAAAACAATAATTACTCTTGCTGGAAGTCCTCCCCCCTCGAGACTTCGAGGGCCTGTTCTTGGTGATACCACGACACTATACTGCAAATAACGTGTTGCAGGAATATCCTATAATTAAACCTTTACCATGAGACCCTGCCCTGAGTTTGACATCTCCTGAGGCCTTTTTGGTGGGATTGAGCGCCCGAGTGACCACCCATGACGAGACAAACTCTGCCTAGGGCATGCAGTGATAGAGGGAAAGGGGACCAATAGCTAGGATAGAAGTATATATTTAGCAGGTTGATCTCGGACAACTACTCCATAACCTCTAGCAGGGCCGGCTCTTCTGGAAAAGTGAATGTGGGTGATTGAGATAGATCCGGGGGTAGGCGAGCTAAGCTATCTGCCAATTTTTTCGAGCATTCTCTTCTGCTATTATAATTATTTGTTAAATCCTTCAATCGTTCCAGGGTACAATCTCCATGTGTGGCCGCTTGGTCGCTACATGAAATCCAAGGCACTAAGATATTGAAAACCATAAATAGCTAGGACAAGTTAGACAAAACACTATTTGGCGTCCCAAAGAGGGACAAAATCCCTTAAAACTCTCTCATTCTTAAGAAAGCAATTTCGGTACTCTTGTGGAGTGGGATCTCCCTCCACCGCAAACTCTCAACTATTGGCAGGAACAAAATGAACCCAAAGATCTGCCGACACTTTACTCATGCCTTAGTATACTCCAACACTCCCTCCTCAAGGCCAAAATCTCTAACTCCTGGGTCAATCGTCCTCTACGGCAGCTCCAACACAGGACATCGATGAAATAAATGATCCATAGCCTCCTTTGTTCACCATGGGGTAAATACGCTGCTCGTCTACACTCTTCCTATCTGCCCACCCAGCAGACATCCCTTGCCCCCTCTCGTTTGAAGAATGCCCCAGCTATGGGTATACTGTAGTTCTTTTCATGAATGCCCATCATGTTCGGAGTGGAGGCTTCCACTAGGCCCTACCTACTCTCAGGGCACCTCACGAGTACGGTAATACTATGGCCGGACTAGCTCGATTTATCGTGATAACCCTCAGTGCTTTGCCCTCACTCACACAGAGAAAAACTTTCTATGGAGGCACGCACAACTTCTTATTATGCTCTCCCAGTTCCTCCTCCCCCTCCACTCGCTCTTCCCTCCATCGCAAACTGAGCACGCAACTCAATCTTCTTTCTTTCTCCACCAAACCATCACAAATACTGCCAACCGGCAAGGAAAATAATCCCCCTTCTTATTCCCCTCCGATACCTTTCATCTATCATATTCCCTCAAACCGTCTATCACAATCACGATGGACAGGCCAAGTGCCCGAGCTTCTGCAAAGAAGCGCAAAGCAGGAGAGGCACCCGAAATACCCGTGGAAGCCAGCAAGAAAACTAAGCTCTACAACATCAACCGCTCTTCCCCTGATACCATCAGTGATAATGATGACTTCCAGGAAGAAGACACTACTGCATTTACTACTACTGGCCACAAGATCGCCAGAGTTTCGAACGCAAAAAAAGTTGCCCCCAAAGCCAAAATCAACACCTCCAAAAACAGCAAAGTCACCACCAAACCTGCCGAAATCGAAGGCGGGAGAGTCGCCGAAGCCATCATTAGCAAGCAGGCATCCAACCCGACCAAGACCTTGAAGCGCAAGAGCACCGGAGGCGGGTCTGAGGAAAGATTGGGATTCGCCCTTCCGGCTAAGAAGGCCAAGGTTGGGCAGAGCCAGAAGGGGGAGACTACTGGTGAAGTTATTGAGGAAGTGAGGAACGTTGGTGAAGTTCATAAGAAACCAAAAGTCAAGGAGACAGCTGGAAAACACGGCCCTATCTCTGCTCTCAGGAGAGGTAAGACTGGCAAAGCCCCGGATTCCTGAACTGTTGGTAAAGAGAAATTGACCCGTTAGCAGTTAAAGTCGGCACCGCTCCCCAAGGGGAAAAAGTCGACAAGCCAGCAAAGACCAAGGGCATGCGTGACAATCCCAAGGCTGGGAGGGTCAAGGATACTGCTAGAGTTACCAAAGCGATCATAGCCGACAATAGTCCCGAGACTTCCAATTCCGATTCCGAAATTGAAATAACTGCACCTGAAGGGTCAAACAATGTCAAAGCTTCCAAGGACAAAACTGCTCTCAACGCGGGCGGGGGAGAGCCTGTCCCCGGGAAAGTCGCAGCTAATATCGGTCTTGAGATGGCTAGGCGCCGCATTGCCCCTTCGTGCAAAGCCCTAGATAAGGAGTCCATTGATGTCGTCGAGAATACAGTTCAAGATGTCGGTACGCGCAAGGGCTCTAGAGCCAAGGGATTCCAGCAGAATGAAAACAATAGCACTAGCTCCCAGGGATCTAGATTTGGCAAAGCGAAGGACAGGACTACTACCAACGCTATCGAAGGAGAAAGGAACCAAGTGAAAGCCAATGCCAAAGTTCCTCACAATGGGCCCAAAAGTCATAAGGCATCCCAAGGTGAAACCTCCACCCAGGACATCGTTGAAATCGATGAAGATCATGAGACACCAAGCTCCGGGAAGGCCAAGAATAACGTTACCACTACAACTAAGCCAATCTCTGCGCCGGCAAGCCAGGAAGCGGGCGGTCTTCTAGGACTCGGAGTAGCGAAGTCCATTTCCAGAGATGATCTTCCAGAGATTACCTCTAGGGCCTCCTCCCGTGATGGTAGAGCCGGGGCCAGTACGTCTATCCCGCAGATTTCCGAAGTCGAGCCGCCGAGGCACCCTTTCATAGTAACGGATCCCAATAAACCCCGTCCAAGGGGCCTCGGACGTACTCATTTCGAAGAAAGTAAGTAAACCATCTGCAGCCCCCTCCCTCTTCCAACTTCGCTAACATGCCAATAGCACCGGCCTACAAGAACCTCATGGAAGTGGCTACTCAAGTCAAACGCGCGGCGAGAATCCTGACTAAAAAGCTAGTTTCTGCAAAAGCAGCGAGCAAGAATTCCTCAGCAGAGGAGCAGCAAAACATCGTGGTTAATGCTTGTGAGAAAGTAAAGAAATTCGTTAAAATTTATTCCCCGCAGATCAAATTTCTCAACGCCGAGGAACACACGGCTCTTCTTAGGGCAGCCGTTCAGTGCTTGGGTGGTGCCGAGGCCGCCGAACTGCCTAACCGCGATTTTCAGAAGGTCCTTTGGACCTTTTTGGAAGGAATGAAACTTAGCGAGAGTCAAGCCATAACTGTGGGTCTGTACCCCATTCTCGAGATCTACAAGATGGAAGAAGAATCCGGAGAACTAGGCCCGGGTGTCAAGCAACTCATCGCCTCTGTCAATGCATCCCTCGTGAGGAAGAGCAAAGCGGCTGAGGCGAGGCTTGTAGACCCCGACTATCTTCCGGAGGATTATCTCACGTAAGTTTCCACGGCCGAATACCACTTTCCCACTATCAGATGAGCCACTAACACCAGCCCATATAGTAGAATGCAGAAGCGCGTCCTTGCAATGGGCAACGTCTCGAAGCCTATTTCCGACGAATGGGAAAAGTTCCTCAAAGACAGCGCTCCCCCGAAGGCCGTTCAGAGAGCTCAGCCCCTTAGCTATGTGGACCAAGTTGTCCCCTTATACCAGCCCATACCTCCTACGATCAAGCCTAAGCCTGCTCGAGCTAAAAGCCAGTGGGAGAAGAATCATATGGTTTCTAAGATAATTTCAAAGAACCGTTCAAATAAGAGGCTCGAGACGAAGATACGCAACGCCTACAAGGTCGTTCGTGAGCATAAGACGTATGATCTAGAACAAGATGATGGTGAACCTACGGAATATCGCTCTTGCGGAAGGCCCCCAAGGTTTGATGAAACGAAAGAAGCCCGTCAGATCTTAGAATATGACGCCTTCGGGAAACCTATATGGCCTAATGATGCGGAGGAAGCTGGTGGGTCCATGGTGCATGGCTCTTTCAGCAATCCTTTGGAGTTTAATTGAAGCCCCTTTCGAGTTTTTTCACCCCCGTAATATTTTACTCCTAGTTTGTGAGGCAGCTAGTTATTATCAGTGTACGTAAATCGTTTACAAATAAAAATCTATTACATCCTCTGGGATTCCCTTCCGGCTTGTGTCAGATTATTCCAGGTATGATAGCCGAAAAATATTAGAGGATATGTTAGCGCTCGGCAGCAGTACCCCCCCCTCCTGAAATAATCCGAGGTTACTGTGTATTGATCAGTGGATGTGAATATTATAGTTAGGCGAAACGCAACGAGCCCATCTGTTTAAAAGATCGCTAGCAAGATCCACGTTGTACTATCCAGGGCGTATCTAGATATCATCAGGGTCGAAGATATAAAGCAAAATTTAAGCGAGTGATAGGATGTGGCGAAAGCTTGGCGAATTTCGGGGTGTTATGATAGCCGTTCCCTCTTACGAGAATGTTACCGCACCGACAACTCTTGTACTGTGACAACAGCTCTCCCCCACAGTCTATTTGGGCTTGCAGCCCGATCCTGTACAACTCAATATGTATCATATGGCAGGGACTCTCACGAGAGGCTAGGGGTAAATTGCCATTAAATTTGTTTACAGAACAAGATCTATGAAATCTATCAAACCAGCCGCATTAAGAAAATAGAGCAGACCAGAGTACAAAGCGAGCGGTCTTTTCCTTTAAATAAGCTTCTCTCTGTGAATTTTCAGTATCCGTGGCTTTTTCAGTAGCTCTCGGTGCGGCCGGCTCTAGAGAAGGTGGGCAGTAGACCCGAGCTAGCCCGGCTTTATGGGTGATGTGTTAGGAAAAATCCTGCTTCGAGTAGGAGAATCTAGCTTCTGTTCAAGTCTTCAGAGAGCCGGGAACAACCAGCGAGATCCGGCGAGGGATACTATTGCTCAGCTTCACCGAAGTACAAGGATTTTTACCCAACGTAGTTCTATTAGACCATGAGGTTCCCTAGTAGTTCCAAAACTCCACTTTTCCTCTAAAAATTTCATGTCCATGCTACCGCACCAGAGAATCTTCCAGCAATCTATCCCGAAATAAACTTCGAAACTAACTTCCAAGTAAATGCCCTTCCTGTAATTCTAGAGTATTAATATTTGGTTATCACAGTGTACTACTTCACTCCTACCCTCCCTAATTCTCCCCACCGTGCCCATAACTCCGACCAGAGTTTGCACCCATGGCGTACCGTGCGCCTGCTAGAGCTCAGATGTCTCATGCTAGAGTCGAGCAAGATTTTCAATACCCCGATGCAGGCTGAGCTAGTAAAAATAATAACTATGCTTCCGAGTCTCTGCCCCCCTGAGCCAAACACTATTTGAGGACATGCAGCAAGAGACTGAACTTACACTTAGTCCTTCCATTTGCCTGTAGGGCGTCACGCAACTAGAGTTTCCTCAGAGGGTCGAGACACTGTACCTCTGCTCAAAAAGAATCTCAGGCAGAATCAACTGATAGCACATGCGAGATTTCAACAAATAACTCATGAACCCCATCACCGAAGCACCTGCCACCGAATCAACCCGACACCAACACTAGCACTCCCTCTCCACATCTGCTACCCCAACTGGCGCCTCGACCTCCACCTGCTCACAATTCCCGTAACCTCGTCAACTTGTCTTTTAACCTCCTTCTCCGCTTCCACAACCACATCGATAGCACGATCCAAATCCTCTAGCATGTCGACAACCTCATCCATCAAGCCTTTTGCAAGTTCCCACATCTTTCCACCCACGGGAGACCTTTTTAAGTCTGTGAACGCGCCATGCAGCATATCCGTGAGCCCGGAAAGGGCAGATTGGATCTCGGTGATATGGCGGTAGTAGAGCGAGGCGGTTGCGGGATTGTTGGGTATTTTAGTCCTCATGCTCGAGATAAGGTTCATAGCATTGACGTAGGTTTCCAAGACGCTGGTTGTGAGGAGTTCAAAGGGCATTTTAGCTCCGGAGAGTACTTCTCCCCCGTGGCCCTAGAGCTTTCTGGTTTGATGCTGCTGGCCGTAGGTGTATATCAGTTTTTTGTCTCTGATGGACAAAGGAGAAGCAATACGGGGTAGGGAACGTGGGATAGGACCCATTTCCGGGCTCTCAAGAGGAGATAGGGGAAAATATTTGAACAGGATATTGAGCTGAACAAAAAATCCCGCCTTGATAAAGCACGGATAACTTGAATATCTGCAAGCAAGGGTGTCAAAGAATACACGGCATATCCAGTCTTTCAACTAGCGAATAAATCACGAGAGGAGGTGAATTACTTTGTTAATGCTTATCCTGCCATAAGAGACACTCTCAGAATATTCGAGTCCTCCTGCGGTGCCGCAGCAGAGCCCAGTTTCAGTTTAGCAATAAAAATAAAAAATACCAATTGGGCTTCCACTCTCGCGTCTTTTTTGTCATTGCAGAAAGGTTGTTGTTTGTCTATGCCTAAAACTGCTCCACCATTTGGTATGAACGCGGAGGGAGAGCGCTAACATAATGTATAGTCTAAAACCTGAGAAGTGCTTGCCTCAAGTGTCTATTTATAATTTTCTACCCCCATGTACCCAAGCCACTCTATACCGGGGAATTTCAGGCAATGCATTACAGAATATTATTATTATTTCCCCTCTAAATTGTGCAGATAAACCCCAGTGTATAAAATCACCTCGAGGAGAGGCCTCCCTCGAACACTCCACCAAATTCTATAAAAAAAAAATAAAGACAGTGTATTTTAGCCAGAATCTAGCAACCCCAGAAGGATCCAAACATTTCACAGGGCCGTTGTTGAGAACCACCTAACTTGGGGCCTCTGGAGAGAAAAAAGACATAAAAATAATTAGTATCACAACTTATTCTCAAGTCCTTATCATTTAAAATTAGTGGGCAAAAACCACCCGAAGCCTATCTTCGGCCCATTCAATCCACTATACCTCCCCTGGCCACCGCCGCTCGCTCCGCTACTCCTGGACAAAATTCAATGAAAAGCATCACGGCCCTATCAAGCTCATACTTACCCCAAATATTCAGAGAAGGCGGCAAAATATCTCCACTAAACTAGACCAAACCTCAGGGCTGCCATAACTAATATCAGCAGAACGAGGCCGCTCTTCCCCCCAAGTAAAATGTTTCCACCATTATCCCAGCAGTAAATTCGAAGAGGAACTAAAGGTGGACTGGCTATACAACCACCCGAGCACCCTCTACCGCCACCCAATGTGTCGGTCCATAGATGATTCAATGGAGGGGCTATTCATAGTTCAGGGTGGGCCTTTTGAAGGAAATGTTTGCGCCTGCACAGCTGAGGGTATTAGAGATGCGATCTGGGAAACATCAGACTGACCTCAAAAGATTATTCTATATCTGTTTCTTTTATATCTGATTCTCGGCCTGAGTGTGAAAGACGGATTCTGGAGATAAACGGTACTATACAAAGGTGGCATACTATGGGAAATTTGCGCCATGGGTTAGGTTCTCTAAGGGTTGAAGTTATAAACGGCAAGAGTGGGTTCCTGAGCTACGACACCTGTTGGATTTTAAACGCCTATACTAAAACCGCATGTGATGTGTTAACATGCTCAATCATAAAATATTCGGAAGCGGGGTAAAGTCAAGGACAAAGTAAATCAGGCCGCAGTGCCAATGGAACTAATATCTCACTTCCTAAAAAGAAATCACACCAAACCCCGCACGAGGAAAGTAGGCAAGTTAGACCCAACAGATTTTCCATTTGAATATCAACGGTCGAAGTTATTAAGTTGTAATATCAGAGAACAGAAATAAATCTCAGAAACATCCCCTATAAGCCACCTCTACTTATAGCATTTCCCAAAGATCATTTTTTCTAACCAGATTTATCCGTAGCACCGTCATTCTGGACATTCCCCCTGTAGACTCTATTATTCCAAAGGTGCTCGGTTCTAAACCTGCACTGGACAGACTCTGCCTTAAGGGTGTCGACATCGTCGCGCAACTGCCTTAGCTCACCCAAGCGATCGTTGGTATCGTTCTTAAGCTCACGGAACTGGCCAAGAATTCGCCCGGATACAGCCATATCCTCGAGAAGCTCCTCTTCGAACTTCTGCATGCGACTAACAATAGCGCTCTCGACGGTATCTTGACGGCGAATGATGCTGGCCACAGTGTTTTGAAGAGTTTGAAGGTTTGCTCCGAGAAGGGTCATTTCAGCCAGCGCCTTGTTCTGGAAGTCCCTAGTGACGTTTTGGAGGTCCTCGCGAAGCTGTGTATCGACGTTGGTAGAGGAGATCAGCTTACGGAAAGCATCCTCGAGGACTGTAAGACGATGTGTAATGGACTGGATGGGCTGGGATAGCACGAGTTAGTACTGACCATCTGCTATCCAGAGTAGTAAAAGTAGTGGGGAGGGAATGGGGAATCGTACATTCGCCGGATCCGCGTGACGGCCACGACGATCCTCGAGATAAGCTATTGTTGTTGTCAGTAATAGTTGCCCAGGAGAATAAAGAAAAACTTACCTGCTAACATTCTCCCATCGACAGGCTCACCCTGGGGACCGCGAATAGAGTCATATCCATTGGAAATAGGCATCGCGTTTTCTATCTCTCGTGAGTAATAGATTCCTCCGGAATAGATAAATTAAAATCTAAAAATAAAAATAAAAACAATCTAAAAATATTAGAGAAGACTCACGATTATAGAAAAAGAGTTCTTGTTCAGTGATGTAGTTGTCGTTCTTCCTGATGGTAGGGGGGACAGCGGAAGTAGAAACATGAGCCCCCCAAACACTAGAGTCCCCACTAAAGCAATTCCCATCCGAGCCCTCAACCCCAGTACCATTAACAGCTTTCTCGCGTGCCTCACGAAGGCCCCAAGCCCTGTCCAAAGCCAAAGGCAGTGTGGTGAAATACTCCTCATCAGGGACAGTGCCCTCCAGCAAAGGCGCAATCGGAGACTGCGAAGCATTCTTAGCTTTTTTCTTCCCCTCCATTTGCCTCGCCTTCGTTTCTTCTGCCTTCTTTGTCTTTAGGGTAGAATAGCGCTTGGCCATAGAGGGTCGTACAATCTTTGCCAATTCAACCTCGGACATATCCGCAGGGTTCCTGATGGTCACCGGAGCAGATACTCTTCGACTGTTCATGTTCTTACGGATAGATGGCTCCAAAGCCTGTCCCCCGGTTCTGGGTCCTCCGCTAGCACTCTTTTCATCCTCCTTCTTTTCCCTCTCCTTCGGCTGCTCCGCAGAGTACGGGACCTCATGATAGTCCCTAACAGCTGTCCGATCGGGGTCCGCAAGAGGTAAGGCAAGCCATTTCTTACCCTTCTTACGTGACGGCACTATTAAGGAATTAGCATCTTACATCGTATGCAAAGTTAGAGGGCATACTTGGGGTATTTAGGACGGGGATATCGCGTGGCGCACTAGGTATATATGGCGCCGGGACCACCTGTGGTGGGAGAGCGATTGGGGGGTAACCTTTTGCCGGTTTTGGTGATTTCCAACCCTCACGAGGAGGTGACGGTTCCAGTGAATCGCCTCCAGGAAGGAGATCTTCGGGCATGACGATGTAGGACATTATTTCAAAGTTTTCAGCCAACGGATCCGTGGAGAGCTCTGGTGTTGTGTAGTCGAGGTGGAACTCTGGTGTTTGTGGTCGAGGCAGTAGGAAGCAGGTCGGAGGCAGAGAAGAAGATGTATCATAAGCGGCGGCAGGGGCTGTTCTATGAGGGTTTTCCCCTCCTAGCAGTGCACTTTTGTGGTGTTTTAGGGCTAAAGAGCCACTTATTCCAGTCATAGTGTCATATGATAATTCGCCCATGGTGAATATATGCACCACTAAAGTTGGCAGAGACCTGGATATTACCCACCGCCCAAACACCCTTCCATAAATCTCTTCCATCTAACCCCAGCCTCTTACCCCCCCCCCCCCAAAAAAAAAACGGTTACCACACACTACCCCGAAGTGCCACACTCGTACTGCAAGTTCAAACACCTGTGATATAGTTTCCACCTAGATCGCGAGGTGAGTTCTCCTGAGCAGCTATTGCTTTCCCTAGAAGACACAAACCCACTAGAATTGCCAATTTCGGGAATGGCTCGGGCCCGAGAAAATAGTGTGAGCGGTGGATTCCGAGCTCGCCCCTCTTCCATTCTGCACCATGTCAGATGAACCCTATATAGTAATGAGTGACTGTCCGTGATAGCGCTATCGAACCGCCCAGATGAAGGGCAGAGGGCAGCGCCTAAAGTATATCTGTGGATACTTATCGAAACCGGAGTCGCTACTCTTCACATATTAATCGCACCAGATCCGTTCATCCTGAAGGATAGATTCGGAGCATCGTCTGCTCCGTTGAGTAGTTGTCCTAGGCATTCCTTCTGAGCAAGTTTGCCGATGAGTTTGTGTGGGGGAGGCCGGGGTCCTAATCCAACATGACATTATTTATCACAATACCCAATCATACGATAGGTTATATAGTTCGGGAAGACTAAACTCTATACCAAATTTCCAACAAAAGCGTGACAATCTCTCCTGCGGCGGAAACCGTAACACCTTACCAATTGGTTATTTTGGCTGTTAGGTCTGATGGTATGATAAGCCAGGTAGTAGATTGTTGTAGTGTTAGGAGCGTAGTTGTGGTGAAACACAGGAATACAGGTACATATGTGTGGAGACATGTACCGTACTAGTACGGTGCAAAGTGCCTAAACGCTGGTCCTCCGGTGGAAAGGCAATTCCGTCGCAACCGATCGAGTTTAAGCGAATAATTGCCAGACGTGTTAACTAAGATGAAATGATATGCCAAGGGAAGCATGCAGAATAGAGGATGAAGCAGAAATAGAATTATATATCTTCTACATTGTAATAGTATGTTTAGAGAACAAGAAAAATACCTAACAGGTCCCTTCATCGATTATTACCATATCTTAGTCACCCGCGCTCCACAGTATTATATCTTTCAGCATGTCACTAGGTATATTCTATCGCTTGTTTCACTCTCACCAAGATTTTTACTTTCTAACCTTGAACTACCTCTTCACGTAACACTTAATTAAAAAATAAAAATAAAAACCTCTGGCCTCTCCCCCTTTCAAGTAGCTTTGTCCCCTAGGTTTTTTTAGGTTCAAGATCTCGTTTGCCTTGTTTTGAGGGCCCGGTTTATGTCACTTTGCACTATATGGAAAATGAGTGAGTGGAGGTGTACATACATGTGTGTGACGCCCAAGAGCATAGATAAGTGTGCGGGTCTACCCTCCTGTGGTGTATTCCTATCGCACCTATAGATTAGATATTATAGCTAGTCACCGTCCCGTAGAAAGAGCAACACAGCTCCTTACACCTCCGAAACGACCAAGGAATTGTGCAAGTCCGCCACCACAATAAGGTCACAGCTTATATTCATCCATTAGACCCGGGTACCGGGAGAAATGGCACCCCTAGCGCTCGGCAGGGTGCCGGAGAGACCATATCATACGAAAGCAGGATCCTACGTCTAAACCTATCATACTAGAAAATGATTCCCGCTTCTACGCACATGGAACATAACTCCCTAAATACACTTTGTACGCGGTGTTGATGGAATAACCCTGAGTATCTACCATAAAATAACAGGTTGGGTTTGCACGCACCGTGAGGCCAGTCCAGTGCCTTTATTACAGCGCCCTGGGGACGGAATATTGCTATTCACAATATCTCCTCCCTCCTCACCACCGCTGCCACAAATCAATACAAACCATGCCCCTAGGCACTTTCGATCCCTATTCACTTCACCACCCCGAAGCGCCCTCCATAATGCTCACATACCCCCAGAGAACATTTGTACAACTACAGAGGCGTAACTTAACTCGGGAAAGTCATCTTCAGAGCTGGAGTTTTTGGTTCAGCGATGTCTCACTTTCCATCAATAGACATACGGTGCACTGCTCGGTGTGGTGTAGCATTGCGCCAATGCGGTATCTGCAAGCGCCCAGCAAGGTTACACAATACTCGCACCATCCGACAACCGGATTCCCTGATTCGGAGCTAATTTATGATGTTCGATACTCGTACATCATCAGCCCCTGCATTACTGTCCTTAAAAGCAACCTATTCTCCACAACACTGCGATTTAACAGGGAATAAAAAATGCCCCCCTTCTTCAGCAATAATGTCAATTCCTTCAACATAAATATTTACGTGTCGAATAACTATGCAGTTGCCGCCGAGCCCGAAATCCTCACCTGGCTATCTCCCCTCAGCCCCACATACGGCATCAGGACATTCGAACCAGCCGGGTCGAGAACGTAGGGACTGGCTCCTACAAACGAAGGAATTTCAAAGCTAGCGCGATGTTACCCGACAAGATAAACCGGATAGTGCGACCTTATTCTGTTACGGCAATCTCCCCGGTGTCGGCAAAGCCTATATCAGGTAAGTTAGGATTGATGACCTCCCAGGAAAATAGCAAAAATGGTATTCCTGACAAACTCGAATGGCAGTTCTCTGGTAATAGACACTTTATGCGACCAAGCCAACGGAGGAGACTTTGTCATTGCTTGCTTCTACTTTGACTTCGCTGTCCATACGGAGCAGTCTCCAACCAATGTTCCGGGCGCCCTGTTGAAACAGATCGTTGGCGGGCTTGAAAACATCCCCGAGGAAATCGTGCAAGCATTTGAAGGTCAGAAGGTCATTGGCGGCCGAGGCCTGCGACTCTCCGAAATTGTGAAACTGTTGCAGAATATCCTATTGTCACGTCGTACTTTTGTCTACATCGACGCTCTTGATGAATGTGCCCCCTAGTACCGCATCGCACTCCTCGACTCACTACGGAGGATCCTCGACAAGTCACAAAGCACCCGATTATCCCTGACCGGAAGATCGCACACCCGGGGCGACATTAAGAAGCACCTCCCTGGAAGGACCAGTGTTGTGTCTATAAAGCCTAGCATAGATGATATTATCAGATATATCCGCTCTAGGCTCTCGATGGACGCGACTCCCGAGGCGATGGACGGTGTCCTGGAGGGAGACATTCTCAAAAGCATCCCCGACAGGGCTTCTGAAATGTACGTGGACTGGGAGACCTCCCCTGAGTTATCTTCTGACCAATATATATATATATATATATATATATATATAGACTTCTCCTTGCCTCGCTCAATATGGAAGCGATCCTCCAAGAAACTACCATCTACCGCAGACGGCAGAAACCCAAGGAAGTATCAGATGGCCTAGGTTTGGAGGATGCGTACGGGGAAACGCTGAACCAAATAAAAACGCAGGGTGGCGAGAAAGCAAGACCTGCAACTGCCGCTCTGTTGTGGACATATCATTCAGAACGGCCGTTAGAGGAGGATGAGCTCTGCCATGCACTCGCAGTGGAGATAGGGTCACCGGAGCTCCATGCAGAAAATGTGCCTTCCATTCAGACGTTGCTGGCCCGCTGTCAAGGTCCCACCGTCGTGGGTAAAGAAGCTTTCCAAGTCCACTTAATCCATTCTACCCTTCAAGAATACCTTCCCACCCTCCACGGCCTCTTCGGTAGTGCTCAACTAGTCATCGCAGAAACCCGCTCGACCTATCTAAACTCTCAAGAGGTCAAGCACGTCACGGCCAACCCCACCTCCGACCCCAAAAGGACGCCCTTTCTCCTCTACTCCTCGCTTTATTGGGGGACCCACGCGAAAGTGGAACTCTCGGATTGTGCAAAGTCGCTTGCACTAAAGCCCTGAGCCGGTACGAGAACCCTGCGTCTTCTAAATACTTTGCAGCATGCATTAGATCCATACGATTTTAATGATACTGACACCCGTGCTTCGTTTACTTTCACCGGCCTACACTTGCTTCTTTTTTCGGGGTTGTTGAAGTTGCGATTGCGCTAATGAGGAAATGCTGTGACATCAACCAAATAGATTGCGCGGGTGTTACACCACTTATGTGGGCTGCTGAAAATGGGCATGATTCATTAGTAAAGCTCTTACTTGCCCAGAGCAGCCTTGACCCCAACAGAGTAGACCCAAAATATGGTAGAACGGCACTATCTCGGGCGGCTGGGAATGGGCACGAGGGAGTTGTGAAGCTATTACTTGGTCGAGAATCTTCCGAAGATAGTTGGTGGGCGCAATCACCACGGCTGATGAGATTTATACAAGGAGGGGGCAAGGCCAACCCTGATATGCCAGACAATTACAAAAGAACCCCACTCTCGTAGGCAGTTGGTAATAGACACGAGGGGGTAGTGGCTGTACTACTAGGACAGGAAGGTATGCATCCAACAGGCCCGACCAACTAGGCCAAGCCCCCCTCTTGTGGGCTGCCGGGGGGGCCACGAGGGGTAGTACAGCACCTCCCCGAACGCGAAGACATCACCCCGGACACCCCCGACAAACTCGGCCAAACTCCCCTCTCCTGGTCCGCCGAGATGGGAAATTCGGATGTAGTCAATCTCTTCCTCCAACGCTCGGACACCAACCTTAACAGGCCCGACCACCTCAGCCGCACCCCACTCTCACACCCAACCGAGTTGGGAAACGAAGAAGTAGTCACGCTGTTCCTGAGAAGGGCCGACCTTACCCCCAACCTTCCTGAAAAGTGGGGCCAGACACTGCTCTTGCGAGCCGCTAGGAATGGGCGTGAGGGAGTTGTGGGGTTATTACCCGGGCTGGATCACACTGACTACGAAAGTGAGGATATGTACGGCCAGATACTGATCGAGCTAGCTAGGAGGAATAACCATTTAAGGATCGTGGAATTGCTGCAATGGAGAAGCATTGTCACTCGGTGGGACTCGAGAGTCGGCATGAGGCGGGGCCTAGCTTGCGGCGGAGCGGGTGGATTAGAGTGGGCCGGGATGTCCTCGTTTTCGGGTGGGGCTGCGTGGCGAGGAGGGAATTCTGCGTCAGGCGATGAACTTAATGAAGCGTTGTAGTCTAATTCCACCACTTTGTCCTCCTATGTTAGGTCCATCGCTCTATACGGGGTTACCAATTCCATCTGCAACGCCCTAACTATATGGAATTGAGGGAACACAATTTCTACCTACAGAAAGCAAGTAGGAAAATGCTGAAATAATGATCGAAATCATGTGCAAGGCAAAATTTGAGCTGTGGAGGCCATTTTGAAAGGCCGGTTACCAACCCCAAATAGTAATAGTGAACACCCTGTGCACGGTATGTCATAATTAATGCTTTATTCTTCTGGGACTCGCACGATTTCTGTCCCGCCCTAGGATTTGTATAAGGCGAGGGACAAAAATCACCAGCAGAAGTGCGCTCTGCGCCCAAAGTAGGAATGCTCATCGTGTAATAATGCCACCTCTATTCAATCAAGAAACTTCAACTTTGACTACACACCGAAGAGGGACTTTCTCCCCCAGATTGTTACAAATAAATATCTCATTTTTGGGGATGTCTATTGATCAAACAGTACCGGTAAAGGTGACGATAGGTCTTAGCGATTTTTTCATGGAAAGCTATACTTTTTTGGACATTTCTCGACACCGGTCGGTGATTCGGCACAGTAGCTACGATACTAAAACAACGGCTCAGTTTTGCTAGCCCTAAGCCTTTGTGCATGAAGAGTTGACATTCGGAGTTCTAGAGATTGTATGATACCAGGATCTCCCCCATTTCCAGGTAACCTGGGGCGGGGGGTTCAAACACTTAGAGCCTGTTACGTTTGGTGCGGTATACAAATTTACGCTATTTTTCCCTTGACAAACCACTATTTAGTAAGACCTAGGTAGGACTAATCAGGTCCCCTTTCATGAGAGACTAGCAAAGGAGGCGCGGCAGAGACAGAAGATCCTACCGCTGGCGCTATGATACATTCACAACCTCGCATCAAAGAGATTGCAGGAGAACCAGGTCATTTTTGTCCCCAACCTGGCATGTGTTCAAAATCAGTTATCTCACGTGAAGTCAAGGTTCTCTTCTCAGCTAATTCTCAACCGATTCCTGTTGATACTATAACCCTTTGGTCTCGCTGTTGAGACTTGATGCGATCCTTGTCGAGGCGGTTTTTCTTGCGACCTTATTAAGTGTCCTCAGCATCAGCTTTCTACAATCACGCTAAGTTAAATTTATGTCACTCGTATTTCCCAAGCATCTGTGAGAACGAGCGAGGGATCGTCAGTATTCAAAGGAGTTTTGATAGTGTTTGTGCCGTACACACCCATCCGATCTAACTGGTCTAGCTTCCTTTTCCGCCTCTCGGCACCTACGTGCGGTTCAATGCCGTAGAAACTGGAAAAGTTGGAGTCTCGCGCTAAGACGTCTGGAATTTCCTCCTTTGGATTAGGGGGGAAAGACAGCGAATAATCCGTCATTCAGTCCCTAACAGAGATAAAAAAAATACAACAGACCTTACTAGCAGAGGTAACTCCAACGTCCCAGCGCGGGGTCCAATTATTCCACTTTCTACTGTGGCTCTATCGTTCATCTATCATCATAATATTACTATACTCCCGTATTTTGTTCCCAGCTTCTCTTATCTTCTCTTCTACTCCCCCCCCCCCTTGTTTTGCTTCCTAGGTTAAAAAAATCCCAAGGCCATAGGTCCCTTTCATATTTGGTGCAATCCCTTCTTATAACTACATCTTTATAAAAGCTTACTCGAGTAGTACTTGTATACCCTAATTTATCACAAGGTCCCAAACTTGCATGATACCGGCTCCTGTAGGCTAGTCTATGGTGAGTGGGTTGAGTGGTATTTGGTTTCTAGGTGTGGTCGGGGAAGCGTTCTACTTGTATTTATAACGAGAAACTGGAGGTGTAAAGCACACGGGCAGCAGATGTATCGCCACGGAGAAATGGGAGTGGTGGGGAAAATGTCGTACGAAAAACGGACATATATTGGCGTTAGGGGTAGCCTAGCAAACATGGCACTTGGGCTAGAAGAAGTTGGGGTCGGTCTCAACCCCAGAGGCAATGCCCACTTGCAAAATTTCTACACGAGTGGTCTTCTGCCTACTTTGACCGGCTAATACATATGTTTCCCATCCTAGCAGCGGGTTCACCAATCCCTCGTATCCACCCCCGCCAACCGAACGGAAGGGCCTTCCGCTGTGTAAATTATATCATGTGACACGGGGCGGTGGACCATCTTTCCACTCTAGTAGCAGAATCACCGCATGCCCGTCTTGCTCTCCGTCGGCTCGCGAGGAGTTAATAGGCCTCAGTTATCTGGAACCCTAGATGTTAACATACTCTTATTCAAGTAGTATCACAGCCCTACCGGTAGTGCTTTGGGATCCACGATGGGCCAACAAGAGTGGCCTTGCGTAGGAGCGGTTTTGTCCATTGGAGTCAACGTCCTTCCGTTCCGGTACCGGCCGCACCACCCCCTTGTGTCCCTATCCCGCGGCCGACACGAGCGTTGCTTCGCTATATAGATCTCGTCCCTTAAAATCAGAGCCTCTCCGCCCCGATTGCTCCTTCATGACTCCCTCATGTGCTCCAGGTAAAAATCGGGTCGGGCTGAACTCGGGTGGTGATATCGGTATCCGCGTTGGATGTGCTTATTGAGGCTGCGATAGTGCGGGATATTTGAGACCAACGTCCAAGATCGTGATACGGTGCCGTGGGATAGCGGTATCTTGCGCCTTTGGGCCAGGCTGACTTGTTGATGTGGGCGAACTACGGTATCCCCCGTCCCGAACTATTACACCAATATAAAGCGACCTACCAATGCCTAGGGGTCTTCTTTATGCCATAGGTTTTCCTGCATGCGATGTTTTTTGTACCCGCCCTTGTACTCAAGTCGCCGGATTGAAGTCACTCTTGTTTTGGCGGCGACCTACCAAAAACAAACGCGATTTCAATCCGGCCACATGAGTAACTTAATCATAGTAATAGTAAAAATGGCCGGACGAAGAACGAGGAGGATGGCCTCCCGATACCGGAAAAATGGGGAGAATAACCCACGTCCTCCGTCCGGGATCCGGTTCGATGACTAACTTCCTCTGGGTGTATAGTTCTGAGTGTCTGGCTTTCGGTCCCCGATAACAAAATAAGCAAGATGCTTTCACATGCCTAGGCCTAGTAAGTGATCTTTATTAAACATACTCGAGTAGCTAATTTTGTTCCGGCAGTTTTCGACAACTTTCTTCTGGTGTGGAGACGGGCAGCCGAGATTTAGGGATTTTCTTTTTTCCTAACGTCTCGGGAGGCCATCCGATACTCGAACGCAAGTCTACCACCGCTGCTCTTGGAAATATTCAAGAGAGGATTAGTGACCTACCATTTCGCTCCCATCAACCACTAAAGCAGTGTAAAGGGGAAAAAAATCAAGCCGGGAGAAGTTGAGAAGGTTGCCGCATGGAAACTATGATACGGCAGTATAGCTCCCAAGAGCTCTCAGCACAATCCGGTCCGTTCCGGAGCGCAGTGGTCCTTGGGCATCTGTACGCTACAGTACGGGCATTTCATGCTTCCGGTGGCTGTAAACAGTGATTTCTGTAGTCCAGAGTAAATTACCGGTAGACCCGAGCTTGGTGTAAATTGGTTGCCTACAGTACGGTACGAGTAATTCAGGTGCACGGATCCCAAAGGATCGATTGGTCCCGCGCACCCTCGACAACCCCATCCATCCTCAGCTCCCACAGATTTCACTGTCAGATCCCCTCCGGAAGAACCATTTACCCGCACCGCGCCAGGGGAACGGAAAATAGAATATTCCCCGAGCTTCCAGTGCGAAAGCAAACTCCTCCGGTGCGCCCAGTCCCCCAAATCCCTTTACCGCTGCGTGCAATCGCTCCGAAATCCTAACCCAGCCGTCTCCACTAAGGTCGATCACGAGGGGTCAGGATGTTCGGGACAGTCGCCTCGACAAAGTAGAGGCCTGGCTCCTCCAAACCCACGAGTTTCAGCGGTGCGATATTACTCGTCCAAAAGGTTTTTGTGATCCTCTCTCTTTTGTTACGGTGGCCCAGGAGTAGGCAAGGCCTACATCAGGTGAGGTGGGGTATGCTGAATAAAAGCCCGAGGAGTCGCAGTGCTGATGGGCTGCTAGGATAGCACGCCAGTAATAGACAAATTACGTGAGGAGGCTAGGGGCCAGAATGTTGCGGCTGCTTGCTTCTGCTTTGACCACGTCGCTCAGAATAAGAGTCTCCCACAAATATGTTTGGTTCCTTGTTGAAACAGATTCTTGGTGCTATGGAAAGGATCCCGCAAGACACACCCCTAGCCTTTCAGGAGAGGGAGAAGGCCATTGAAGATCGGGGATTATGGGTTTCCGAAATTGTCAAAATTCTGGAGACTGTATCATCGAAGCGAACGTTTATATGGGTTGACAGGGTGGACAAATATGTGGGATAGCATCGACCCCGTATTCTCGATTCGCTTGTGAAACCCCTCCAGAGATCACCGCAAGACGGCATGGCATCTCAGAGATGAGGCTCAGAGGTATGATACCGGTATCTTGTCGAGAAGGCTACAATCCCACCCGTAGAGCCCAACGAAGATGATGCCGTAGGATACATCCGGATGAGACTGAGCAAGGACGGAACCCCCGATGCTATAGATTGTGCTCTACGGGTAAAAATATTCAAAAGCATTCCGGAGAATGTCGAAAAAGTTCGTAAGAGAATCCTGATTGCGAATATTTACCGCAGCTACTAAACCCAGTTTCTGCCAGTTTTTCCCAACACCTCAGAGGCGACAAAGGCTTAGAGTAGTGCCAGAAGGCAAGGATCTAGGAGGTGTGTGCGGCGCAACTCTAGCATGCATAGAGGAGCATGTTGGCACGCAAAAAAGGCCCAGGATGGCAGCACCGATGTGGATTTCACATTCGGAGCGCCCACCGCTAATCAACGGGCTGCTCCACGCCCTACCGATCGAGATATGGTCAGGGACTCTTAACACTAGTAACACCCCAACTATATAGCCTTTGTTGAACTGTTCCTCAGGACTTGTCACCGTTAATGAGGGGGCCTCGGCCATCGGCTTGATCTATGTCACACTCCAAGAGGATATCTCCACTGGCCCCGACCTATTGGTGGAGCTCACTCGATAACCGCGGAGACCTGCCGGATATGCCTAAATTCCCAGCATATAGAGGACCTTTTACCAACCCCCGATGCTGCCCCCCAATCGACTCACTTTCTTCAATGTTCTCCCTCCTACCGGGAAGCTCATGCAAGTGAACCTATCTGTTTCAAGGCGGTGAACTTTCAAACCACGGGGGATGCAAAGGGTTGACACTACTAAGGCGTAGTGAAAAGTTTTTTCCTGCTAGTCTGATTGGAAAGAAAATGGGCATTGATGTCGGAGGATCTGGGCCTTATGGTATCGTCTCTACAAGTCATATATCTCGCCCATGTTTATATTCCTTGACCATCACAACCGTTCATATTACTGCTGTTAACCTTTTCTACCACATTTATTACCAGCGTCATTCAAAAGAACTCACTCTCTTTTTAACCATCCTCCGCATACCTTAAAACTACCTTCCGAGGATGCCACTCAGTACCGTATCGGGTTTGTGTAAAAGCAACGGCCAAAGAAACGTTCACATTGGCAGTCGAGAATGAGTTTGCGTGAGTGGTAAAGCTAATAAAAGCTCATTAGCCCCCAACCAACGGTGCCGTTTAGGAGTGGCCGGTTGTCAGTTGTCTTACAGCCCTTGAAGGAGGGCGTGTTCTATACTCAAGGCTCCACATGGGCTAACTATCCACCTCCGAACATTGTTCAACATCCCGGAGCCCTCTTTGCATTCTTGCGGGCATCACCGTCTCGCTCTTCCCTCTCTCTCTCTCTGGGCCCATCCTGAAACCTCTAGTCGGTAACTCCCCTGGACTAGGCTTGGTGAGATGGAACCCTATGTGCATGTATATAGACGCCCTTTGAGCCTTTGCGGCTAGTGCAATTGGGTAGCAAGTAGGATAAAATAATATTATGGTGCTATTTTATCCCTAAGAGTGCGCCTTTTATTGTATTTACTCTTCGGTAATTGCGCTAATTTAGTCTCTATTCCCCTCTTCCAAATTCACTGGTCCTTCCCCTCACGTAGGTAATATATGGATTGAAAGAACCCGATTTACTGCCCTTGGAGTACCCTCTCAGATATCAAAAAGGGCTACTGTGCATCCCCGAGGCAACGCCGAATAAAAGAAATCCTGCTGGGACATGCAATTCGGGAATTACGTGACCTAAAGGACAAGTTCGGTCAATTTATACTTTCCCACCAACTCATCCACCTGGTAGCGGCTCTTTTGATAGGTTCATTATTAGCACCACTATTCAACCCTTCACAACCCCCCCCACCCTACTATATTCCACTTTCTAATACTCACACCAGATGATCCCTGCGCAATGCCATTCCCCAGCCCAATCGCACCCGCCATCGGGTACCCCTGTCATATTTTCCAATACTATTTCAACCAGAGAGGATATATTCCGAGACTTTTCCAACAACTAGCCCTTGCACTCTAGACTTGTATACCAGTATAGAAAATTCGATAGTTACAAACTATGGGATGTGTGCTATATCCTTGTTTGAGTTGTAAGCGGTTTGGGCTATTCAATGTGTGTGGGGTCCCGTGATTCGGTATGGAAAAGTTTTTTAAATTTTGGTTCCGATATGGTGCCGAGAATTCATCTGCAAAGATTAGAATAGTTATGATATTATGGTATGATAGTATCATAGTGCGGGGACTAGACAGGAGTTCGATTAGGGTTTGAGGCGGCTCGCACGATAACATGAGGTAAATTTCCATAGCCAGGAGCACAGCGTACCTATCATACCACCAAACCCAAGGATAATGCATTGAGATTGTGAACTCCAGAAAAGGGACAAATTCAGAATTTCCGTTACCCCCTCGCACAGCGGCCAGTAAGATAACGAAAAATAAAAATAAAAAACAAAGGGGCGGGATTCGCGTCAACCGGAAGCGGTGCAATACCGGCAACACAATGGGGCCAAGCATGGCGAGCCAGCGGCAGGGCCCCGAGGCAAACAAAAATAAGTATAATCAGGAAAAAGGTTCCATAGAACCGTTTCAGAGATTAAACTGAAAAGAACAGATACTACACTTGATCTAAGCCTGCTTGGTTGTCAGTAAATGAGAGGATAGAAAGTTGAAATTATGGAGGACTCACCAAAAGGCAAAGAGAGCTGAGGAGGAAAGAGGGAGGAGGGAGGACCGGCCTTATGTAGGACAATCAGAGAACGCCAAGACACTCCATAGTTACCGACCGGAGAATGACTTTAGGGTTTAGGGACTACTTGACAGTGCGTCAGGGTATGTACACGGGGGCGGAATAAGTGTCTGAAAGTATTATCAAAGGTCAAGTACAGGATAGCTCGAGTTATAATACATGTCTGCCGCCCAAGTTACGGTACACCGCTGGGCCAACCGGAAGTCCTGAGGAACCTAGAACCGCGTAGCCCTTAATTATGCCATAAGTGAATCACTTATATTACTCCCCGTCCCGGTGACTTTGAAAAATGTCGAATACGGGGAACGTAGTATCTCCACCACCCTGATGACCTCGAGATCCAGAGACAAGCTCTTGAGAAGGATTAGCGGTTTCCGGAGACCGTATGAGATCACACTACCGGAGGCGCCGGATTCTATTACTTTAACTGGCCCCGGAATTTATGTTTAACTGGTAAACTAAGCCCAACGTATGATGGCGAGTTGATTGCCGGTGATAACCAATGGCGGATCCAGGAGTTTTTATGGCATCGTACAGGCGCACATCCCCAATACAATACGGTACCGGCACTGGCAGTCTAACTCCATATTACCAACAACAATCACCCCCATTCTTACCATCTGCCGCGCATCTATGGCTTATTCAGTGCCGAACCGCCATTATTATCACTTCTTAATTCTACTAGTGAAAAACAAAAAAAAAGGAAAAATAGTTATCATGTTGTGACTGAGGACAGGCTCAACTACTAAGAAAACGCTTTCGATTTTCTACTGGATTATCCCTATGAATTAGGGCGTTAGGCTAGGATTAGTTAGTCTCTTCAGACTCTGGGAATTATTAAAAAAAAAACCCCCAGCCTACGAGATCCAACGGGGCTAATGGGCTTAGACCATACCGCATAAGGAAAGCACCAATCCTCCCCAGGAACTTTTATCTCTGGATCCGGAGATTTGAGACGTGGCGGAGACAGCGAGTTGCGAATGTTTTTTTAGAAAGGGAGTTGTACCCATGTGTTTGGAGCGCGGTGCTTTTCCACTCCCAGACCATCCACTTACCCAACGCATTTATAGCTCTTTTGCCAGGTCTCAGCTAATTATGCTATTTACATATCCCGGATTTTATTTTGGGAACAAATATAGTCAATATTACCATCTCAGATATCCCCCCACATCGTTCCGAGCAGTCAGAGCACAGGCCAAACCAAGCGCCGTAGCTCAATATCATCCCATGATTTTATTTTTCTGAGAGCCCGGGCGCGTTCTCCCGTTCCCGGAGCCGAAGGGTTAGCCAGAAGGTATACAAATATATTGCCGGGGTGCTATCCCTTTTTTCGATGCTCCCATAGTCTAGACCATCATAGATAGTCACTCGCTTGAAAACAATATTCAAACGGAGAGTCCGCAACATCGTAACATACTGCACGGCACAATACCATACACCACCGGAACATATTATAATCCTACCGGGCACCGTTAACCGGATCGGGAAAAAAAGACACTATGATAAATCTCAATGGAGATGGGAGGGGGACAATTATGATAGCCCTCATATGGCGTGTGGGAATATTATGGGCCCAACTTGGCTCTCCCTCAGTATCATTCCCCTGCGCACAATTCGCCACTATTTCTAGCAAAAACCCCATCCTTAAGTCAGCACCCCTTAATCTGTGTGGGTTGGATGTCTAAGGTCCAATTTTTACATCATAGGGAAGTCCGGTTTATCACGACCTGCGACATGAATTCCCATACCAAGCACAAACCATGACCCGGCACCAATTTCTAAACTGTGAGATAAAGTTTTCCGGCATTACACTGTACCGCGTCGCGCATCCAAAATTTGTGGTGCGGTACCATTGGTAAAAGGTGTGGAACCCCACCATATTATTCAAAGGCTACTCGAGTATGCTCAGCATCAAAGGAGGATTGGGATCCTGATGGTATTATAATCCCCATAGTAGAGTGTTGTCATAGTTGAGTGGACAGATGTGGTAGAGCACGAGAGCACAGGTATATGTGGAGACATGTACGGGAAATGTATCAGTGGAGGTATACATGTATGTGGTGCTTGTAGGCGCAGACGAGTGTGAGGGTTTACCCTCTTGTGCTGTCTTCCATCTATGTATTAGATAGCTTGCCACCTTTCGTGGACAAGAACACACTTCTCTACACCTCCGATCCCATCTCGAACTGTGCACGTCTACCACTTCCATCAGATCCAAGCTACTATATTCCGTAAGGGAGGCAACGGGTACTGTGCAGGGAAAAGAAGACTTTTTAAAAATGTTCCAGGTAGAGCAGGGGAAATTATACAGAGCAGAGACCAGTATGAAGCAGTGACTTGACGCTGTAATTACCTGTGTGCCGTGAACATCATAATAATGCTCAAGTTAACCTCGCTGGACTCGATGGTGCGACATTGCGTGAGCCGTGAGCGGCATGAATTAATTTTTTATTTTTTCTCTCTTATACTCGTATACCAGTAATCCCGAGTAAACGAATATCACGAGTCATCCACTTGGTTGGTAGTCTAGGAGCTGTGTGGGAGAACCGTCTTGTAAGTATTGTATTAGTATCACGATTCTATATAGCCGCTGGACAAAGATCCCGGTGAAGGGGAGTTTCTCATTGGCGGAGATTACGGTGGGTTTGTGCGGTGGATGGTCGCGTCCCACCGGCAAAAAGAAATTCCGTTTCACAGAGACCTTTCCCCTAGTGGGTGCGGGAGGCTACGAACGCCTCTATCACAGCTTTGTCCCTGCATTCTGTAGTCGGCGTAGAACATCGAATTTTCGTGAATGTTGTTGTATCAGGAGTATGATAAACCCGGGTGACCATGCCGATGCGTGATTGTCTATAGCCCATGTGGTCAGGATATGCGACTATAGGGCTTGTGTCTACGAGATGTGTAGTGGCTACCCTCACGGTAGCGGACCGTCGTTTTCACATCCTATACTAGTAGGCATTGAATACTTATGCTGTGATAGTTGATGAAGGTGAATGGAGAGCACAGATGAATGAAGCAACACAAATGCGATGAAATGCAAGAAAGTGAGGAAGGATGATGAAAGAATGGATGATGGTGAAAAACTACTGATGAACTGATGGTCGAAACCTCGCCTCCAGCTAAGGACAGAATGGGAGATATATATCTCCTAAGCAACCAGAACTCTGGAACTCCAAGGAAACACCACAAACACAAAAGAACTACTCATCCTGACAAACCATAATCCTCCGTGCTCCACAACAATCTAAAGCTCTCATGAACCTCTAACAAAGAACCAGATGCCTAGAGGCATCAGGCGTGAAAGAAACCAAACCACATCACCAATGCCCTATGGCAACAGGAAATATCATCAACAAGAAACCCAACAGCTAAGCCGTAGAAGCATGAACCATCTATCCGCATAACAACCAACTCACATGCCCGATAGGCACTCCAACAATAGTTTCATTAAATTTTCATTGATATTCGTTGCCATTGAGCATTAGGTACCGGGTATGCGGTTCGTTTTGTCATTCGCATTCTATGCGAGTTGGCATGGGGTGTCATGCAGTTTCATAGATCAGGATATCTCCGGAGGGTTTAGGACCGCGGATGGTCATGATGTCTCTAGATAATATGATAGTGTTTCTCCAGATTTCATCAACAGGTCCGGGGGGTGCATTTATTTCCCGCAGCTTTTGTTTTACTCATCGGCTACTTCAGCAGCAGGCCCATAGCATACTCGAGCAACTTATGTCATTCCCTATCAAGAACGTACATTCATGATTAAGGCTATCATCATGACATCGCCCCACCCCGCCTCTCCCCCAATCTCTCCCCGAGAAATACGCCTACAACATCACTTTCCACTTCTCCCTCCCCGGCTGAACCCTAAGCAGTGGCCTAAAACAAAATCGTTACCGCCTCATTCTCCACCACCCCTTCGCCTCCCCAGGGTGTTCTCTAACATACCGAATAGCCTTAACTAACTCAGCCCTCCCAAGCAATTCCAAACTAGCCTCCCACTCTGCCACCCTCCTCCTCTCCTTCTTCTCCACGACACGCACCTCCCCTGCGGGGCCATACCCCATGACCTGTCCATCACTCACCTTCCATGCATTCCCACTGTGGCAGAACTCAAGCACGTGTTTCTGAAATGCTGCCGCAACCACTCTATCCTTCTCCGGGAGTTCATGACCCGGGAAGAGGTACAGTAGGTCCACGCTATGATGTGCTCCACGGAGCTCGGGTGCGTAGGGATTTGGCTGGTCGAAGCAGTATTCGTAGACTTTCTTTCCGGCAGAACGCCAACGCGAGGTTAATTTATGCGCAGGGTAGCTGAAGACGCTGTCACCGATGAACGCGAATGCGGCGGCGCGTATGGCGGGCGTCGAGTCCGGGGATGGAGCCGGGACTTTGTAAGCTTCGAGTATGCGCGTCCTGTGTGGCTGGACCCCCATGAAGGCCTCATGTATTCTGGCTGCCGAGGCTGGGGCGATCTGGGGGTACCATAAGAATGCCTGGGCAGGCATCCACCGTGAGTTTCAGGCTTTACTACGGTAGGGTGAGGGGTTATCAAGAGGGGGAGAGAACCTCAAAGCCGCAATCACCAATTATGAGGCTCTCACACCAATCTGGTATACCGACCGCTTGGTCCCAGGGTGATGTGAAGAATGTGCCATCGTCGGAAACACACCATACACCCACCCTTGCCTTAACCAGCGCGCTAACCACCTCCCGCACACTCGCGTTGCGCAATTTTTCCACCCAGCCTTCGTCGTTTCCCCCGCCGCTACGCTCCACGAGGCCCGCCAGCCTCTGTGTAGTCCGGATAATATTCTCCCTCGGCTTCGGCGCACCGATATCCAAACACCCGCTTTGCATTACCGCCCTCTTGAACAGGCCCCAGCCAATAGGTGAAGCTGCATGTAATTGAGCATCAACACCCAACGCACCGGCACTCTCCCCGACGAGTGTGATGTTCTCTGAATCACCGCCAAAGCCAGAAATATGCCTCTTCACCCAAACGAGCGCGGTCTGCTGATCGAATAATCCGTTATTGCTCCCCTCACCATCGGGCAACACTCCATAGCCAAACACGTTCAACCGGTAATTCATAGCTACGCAAATGACTTCCTTCCCCTCCGTCACGCTAGCAGCGGATAATCCGGCCGGGTCCTGCAACGGGGTGCATCCGGCACCCGTGCGGTTCGAGCCACCGTGGATGCTGACGAGGACGGGGAGCTTCTTGCCGGAGGGGATCTTCAGGATATGTGATTTTGGCAATGTCACTGTGAGGTTCAAACATTCTAGTTCATCGAAGGTGAAGCCGGGTTTGTCCTTTTGGAGGGGGGTGGGAATGCCGAAGAAGTCGGATTCGGGGCTTGCAGGCTCTTGCGGGCAGATTGGGCTGTTCTGTTAGCATGTCACTATTATTGTTGAAGTACCGGTAGATGGGGAGGTAGTATCTATCTCACCCGTGCCGCGTGCACTCCAATTCACCGGGATACTCCCCGAACAATTCGGCCCGGGCAAACCGTCTAGGCACGCTGGCGAACTTCAAACCACGGAACTGAACCACCCGGTCCCCGAATAGTGAGATCCCCGTCAATCGGGAGTGCAGTGATGTATGAGATATCGTTACCATAACGAGCTCCGATAAGAACACAATTAAAAAAATAGGGGGAGAAGAGGAAATGATGAGCTGGTCTGAATGACGGACCTTATGTAAATTACTGTGCTTTTCCCGTGGGGTAACTTGAATACGCTCGGTATGCGCAGTCTAACTCTATTCGAGTTGGCTGCGTTGGAGAATGCTGGCATTATGCTGCCGTCCAGGGAGTCTCGGTTTGACGACGCAGGGCTTCCCGAATGAGGTCGGAAGGGATCCAGAAGTGGTCTTGGCACACTCTCAGTCTCTCACGCTGAAATCCGGAAACCCGTCTCCAATTGGTCAACCAGCACCACCGCCACATCCCCAACATAAAGTTATTCCCCCATATCATACCGAGAACCAACAAACTCTTGCGGGATGCTATCTTACGGGAGCCCTCCTCCTCCTCATATCTATTGGGTTTTATATGTGCAATTCCATCCTACTACAATGATCACAATCGAGAAATTCAATACCGGAAGGGTCAATGCTCCGGATTTCTGATCCGTGATTCAGGTTTTCCCAAATTCCTACAGGGAGTCCTCCGGCGGATGACCTTCCCAAGCCCCTAACTAGACCTCAGCCACAAAAAATGCATCGAGTACGGTATCTCAACCCTCATGAGTTTGACTGATAATCATTAAATCTCCCCATGAAATCCTTATTCGTGCAATTTTCAGCAACAGCCTTTCTGCGAGGAGGCATGGCCAAGCGAAGCCCAGAAAATTCTCTCTAAACGGCTGCGGAAGGCACACGGGTGCTGATGAGGGGGACTGGAGACATGTATTATGCCGGTAACTTAACCTCGGACAAAGACCAATCACCTACCGGCCCTCGCCAAAAAAATATAAAATGTTACCGCTTTTTCTAGTATCGTGCTCAAGGAGAAACTCCTCACAAATCCCGCAGACCGTTACTCCAGTCGAGTAGACTAACCCACCATAGTACTCGAGTAGTACAGTACAGTGCAGTGCTCGTACAGTACTTGTACAATTTTTCCGTTCTCGTTCGCATACGGCACAGCACAGTACCGTATTACAATCTCAACCGCAACCTAAATTTACCACCAATCACCCCCTACCGGTACCACACGGCACAAATGTGACCAAAACACCAGCGAAGGCACTGACGCCCCCTCACCCGCCCCTAGATCCAGCAAGACCCCCTGCATAATTCCTTGCGGGGGGCATAGACAGGCATTGCGGTTCCACCATGTCCAAGCCAGCAGTCTCGAGGGGCAAGGTTTGAGGACAGTTCGTGCATGTAGCAGGTAAGTGTTGGAGGACTGGCGACAAGCGGTTTTATGATTGAAAAGTGGGGAGGGCCTGCTGCGAGCAATGATACTCGCGGCAGATGACGGAATGTGGGATTTTTTGAGCCTCGGGAGTCGTGAATACTATAGTGCCGGTACGTTCTACTTATTGATGCGACACCGAATAAGCTGGGCGACTTCGAAATGCTGATGTCGGCGGGGGATGCTAACGGGCGTCAGGAGGTTGTTCCGATTTGTGCTAGTCCCCGAGCACTTGTAGGGTACTCGTATAGTATGATACTACTGCAGTACTTCGTACCGTACAGTACACTGGGAAAATCCGAGGTCGAGTAGGCGGCAAGGTTATGGACTTTTACTTGACCCACCTATCTTAATTCAGTTAAGCTTCCAACTACCGAGCACCCGCCCGCAAATTTTAACCCCGCTGAGCAACTTAACATTCCACAACTGACACAAGTCGTGATACTATGCATTGTCCCTTTCAATCACTTGTCTTCCATTTGAAACCCGCACCTTCAAACAAAATGACAGCACAGACTTCCATTTCGGAGAAATGAAACCAAGGCGAAGAGGCGTGCTTCGCCATGGATTCAAAAAAGCGAATAGCAAAATCATGCATCCGTAAAAACAGCCACAGGGGACAATCAACCAAGAACATCCCCTGACATAAATAGACAGGAGTTCCCTCCCCTCCCTAATTTACTCTCCTCGCATTCGACATAAAAACCCAGCTTTCACAAAGGGGGCTACTATTCGAGTTGCTAACTCGGAGATGAGTTACTTTGTGGTAATACGGCTATAAAAGCTCAGTTTCCAATGCTGTAGCTTGGTGCAAGCGTCCACCGGTGACCTCGTCTCTAGAAGATGAGGTTTGACGCTATTCCAATGCTCTAATCAAGTGATTTAACAGATTACCACCCCCGCTGCTCTTATTACGCACTACCGTGCTTACATTAGAACAGATTTTTACCTCTGTTCGAAATTTCCCTGTCACTCAAGCAAAGCAGTCCACCACGGTAGTCAGTGCGTGTTGGATATTTTTTTGCCTCTCAGGCTTGCCCCAGCCCGCGATTTCCCTATTGTACTGTTTTTCACCAGTTTGGGCTCTTAAGACATATAGCTTAGGTAGATATGAGTTAACCCCCCAATGGCTTTGGTTACTTTATCGCCACTTGTTCGTTGGCTTCGCGGGCCAGCGGTATACGAAGATCTCTTCGAGAATTCTAGCGTCCATTTTCGCTTCCCTTTAGTCTCAATCACCCCGAATCCAATAGCCAGTCGAGCAAAGTCACCCGAGTGCACTTACCCCACCGCGCTCTGCATACACCCTACCGCCGCACACCCCATCCCAACACAAGCGTCGAGCCTCACTCCCACCCCCGAGCCCAGGCCGGCCGGAATGCAATTTTTCTGACCCCCTGTATCCCTTTAGTTTCCAGACCTTCCTAAGTACGCCGGCAGATTAGGGTACTAGATAACACATATTTAGTTAGTTGAGCACTATATCCCTCAATTAGGATACACCCGACTCTGTGCTAGAAAAACAGGGGATGCTGATAAACCCGAAAGATCATATACACATTCAATCTTTAAAGTAGCCAAAGGGGTCTACCATTATTCTCCCCACCTTTGCTTCAATAACTGCACATCCCGCGCGCTACGACTAACCATCCACCTCCACAACGGTCACATTATATATCCTTCCAACAATCCATCCTTCATCCCCCTTCTTGAAGTACAGCACAACCTCTTCTGTTCTCCCCAGTTCCGCTGGTAGTTCTTATGTCATTTCACTCTTTGTCTCTAGAGCTCCTAATTCTATGGCTTCCTAGCTTAGTACTTGATAATTTGGGTGGTTTCTAGTGAAACCCATACCTAGGATACCACTCTCTGCCGCACTGCCACACGCTGCCTCCTGCAACTGCTATGGTACCCTCTACCTCGCCATAATTTCTTACCCGAGGGGAGAAGACAGCTTGTCCAAGGGCTATCAAAAAGAGCATCAGAAATTCAACACTCGATTCCGAAGCCAGTGCACCACCAATGATTGAGCAGGGCTTATTTCTATCCGGGATAAATTAGAAAAGCAATCTTATATACGATCAGTAGGCACTCCATCCGAGAAATTATTCTGCGCAAGTGCCCACGAGACGGTAAGCATAGTCCGCTAGTTCGGACACTATGCTGTCTTTCAGTGGACAAGCGGATACGTTGGCACAAGTTCTCACTTTATTTCACTATGATATTTATACTCGAGCTTTAGTAGCCCCTAGTAGTATATATAGTCTCCCCCGGCAAACGAGGAGGCGCCGAAGGCCACGCTGGGGTGAGGCAGAAAAATACAACCCCGGAAACGAAGGGAAAAAAGGCCATAAAAAATATCAACAACTAACTCTCAGTTCCCAGTACCTAGCTTGAAATAAACTTCAGGAAAAGGAATAATAAAGGTTAGTACAGCATGGGGAGATTTCCACCCGGCTACACAGCTGCTAGAGAGGGAGCTTGAGGGGCCTGCGCACCACCGAGAGATAGACAAGCAAATATTTGTCAGCTACTTAGGGGCGGACAAGTACATGGCAGACTTTCACTACTCCCGCACGAGCGAGGAGGGGTCACCCAAATTATACATATCCTCAAAATGGAAGAAGGCAGAATTTTAAACAATAGTCACTTCCCATTTCCTACCTGGCTCTAAGATCCCCTAATTTTCAATGAGACTATAATAGTTGCAACGGCAATATCAGCAATGGAGAAATCACCAAGGGGCCACGTACCATATCCCAGCTATCATAGGCAACCTCAGGCCATCTCACAGGTCTCTTCGCCGAATTTTGTGTGACAGCCAGAGAAGCTGAAACGAGTGATTTCTTGTGATAACCGCTGATCTGCTCCCGTGGCTCGTGTTCAAATTAGGGCTTGCTACCGCAAGAATTCAATAATCAGACTATGTGCTAGGGCGTTGTGGTCGCTTCTCTACGTAAGGTCCAGTGTTTTTTGCTTTTTGTTTTTTTGTCCCGGAAACAATACTTTCTTTTTTTTTGCCGTTTTCCCCTCAGTTCTGGAGGATGGGGCCCCGGACTCTAGCACATGGTCCGTCCATTCCAGTTCCTGCGGCAGGTGATATCATATACCGAGTATGTCCTTTTTCCCGAATTGCGAAATGCCATGTGAAGATACGGGGGGGTGTAATCGGTGGAGATCATGTTTCTGACAAGCTTCCCGCGTCAAGGATCAAGGAACAAACCCTGTGGCACCACTTCCCACACCATAGCAAAATGCCCCTTCCCCCCCGCCTCATCTCTCTACATACTGCCCCACCGATTTACCGGTAGAGTCGAACTCTGCCACCTGGAGGCTGGTGACAAGACTAATTCGCCCTGAAGCCTTAATGAGGAAGGCTAGATTTTACGTCTCCTCGGCCCCCATTGGGCACGATTTATTATTCCCCCCACGATACCCCCACCTCACGAGCGGTTTAATAATATCTCATTGAGAAGGGGAATTGAACTCCTAGGCTCCTGTTTGTTACTCAGGTGTTAACTATCATAGTTCCCGATACCCCAACCACCCCGCCAGCCGAGCGCCTCACTTAATATCACGAGGGGAACGAACCCTTATCCTTCCAGAAGGTGGATTTGCGTCCCCCTTCCCCTGGAGCTAAGGATATACAGAACTCTAGCAAATATTTGGTGTGTTACAATTTTTCAAGACCAGAACAAGGTATACCCAAAATTTGAAAATCACATGAAAAATTAATCCTAATTGCAAAAGGGGTCATTGCCAGGGCTTACTGAGCTTTTTTTTACTTTCTCTCTATCAATACCATACCCACTAGATTCACCCCCTAATGGGTAGTCAAACCTCAAGCTTCCCACGCACGCATTTGTAGTGACCGATCTCTTAACCATCAACCATAAGAACCGGACAACCCTATTGTGATACCTTGTTTCTGAAATTTAACACTATAGGAGGTCCGTCCTTAAGCCTTAGTGGAGATGAAACTCTCGCAGGGAGGTATCATAGCTAGCTCACTCCTCCTGTCTCCTCGGATAGTCTTGCAAAGGCTCAATCCAGTATATAAGATGCTATGGATGGAATTTATAGTATGTTATTAGGCATTGCTCCCTCTCATCCCCCCCCTATGTCGACCTTATTCTCGCCCAATCCCTGCGGTCTATGCACGTGCCCATCGGAAGTTAGGAAGACTAAAAATACGACTCTTTGACACTTGCCGATTGCTTCTTTCCTTTTTACCCTTTTCTGCTTTGCCTTCTTTCTCCCTTTGTTTCTTCTTCCCGTTCGCCCAGGCCCGCCAGCGATGCCTGGAAATGCACGAGTAGGAAAAGCTAAAGTACCAGAAGAAAAACCGATTAGACGGACCCGCCATTCCTATCTAGTCCCCATTTTTTTGAGGCTAATTGTGGTGCAAAACACGAGGTCTTCAAATATAACCCCTCTTGGCCAATTCCTAGCGTACCAAACAAATAAAGTGACCCATCATACTCCCCAATCTCTGCTAGCGGGACCTGACTTTTAATGGAGTTTTCTTTCTACTCCATTTAAAGGACTTAGTTCATTACTTGAACCCCCATCGTATCCAACCGATTAAGGTCGTCCAGCAAAACGCTCTAGATTTAGAGCATTTCTGAAGCCTCCCTTGGTTTTTTCTCCTTAAACGATAGAGTCATATTGAATATCATTTAAGACAAGAACTATCCCATGCACTCCCACTGCAACAATAAATAAAAATAGCGTTCGAGCAAGTCTGAGGTTGTCGGTGCGAGGTAGGCAAGTCACAGATCACCAAATATGGCCTCCCTAACCCAACACTGCCCATATAAGGAAAGCTCAAGGCAACCAAAGTTTGAATTGTATCCTCATTATACCAGAGTGGACCGGCCCTTCCTACCCACTACGTCCCCTACATATGAAAAACTACAGATTTCTCCTGCAGTCGATCTTGGGTCGGATTACCGGGACCAATCAGTAGGGTGTTTTGAAACCTTCATCTGTATTCCCCGAGCCTTACCGAAAAAAAATAAAAAATAAAACGACGGCCGGTAATACTGAAGACAATGTCTCGAAGTCTAGATGTCTTGTTTGTTCGTTCACAGGGTGGGAAATTGGCAACGGATATTATCACCCGGGGTTATTCTCTAGACCTACCACAAGAACTGGAATAATTGGTCTCGGTTTCATGTATCATAGTCCGAAATTCCCTTCTATAGAAAGGGGGCAAAAAAAACACGGCGGAAAAACATACCCTTTCCCTCCTCCGAGAGGGGAAAAAAAAAGAAAAAAGAAATTTCTTGACCTTACTGAGAGGAAAGCCCACACACATGAAACCGGGTCCAATTATTCCAGTTCTTACGGTACCCATAGGCCGTAGAGCTATAATAGGCACTACCGAGCGAGTAACAGTACATTCCGCTAAACCCCGGCAGCCTTCGTGGTAAGGAGAAACCAGTCATAAATAATCACTCGGTAATCGTGTGGATGTTTGTCCCCGAAAGGGAGAAGGAGCTTGATTTTCCTATCACATACGTAGATGCGAGTTTATATTGCGGGAGGAGAGAAAGCGAGATCGGCATCATATGGAAGCCTCGGAGAAGGGAAAGAGCCGAAGAACCTCGGAAGGAGAGAAAAGATATGAAACCCCCTGAAGGACTGAAAGACGAATGATAAGGGGTATGTATACCATACTGGTAGTCGAATATGATATGGTTGTGAAGTTATGAGACGAACGTAGAAGAGACGGGAAAAGCCAAAGCAGAGCCTAACGGTGAAGGGTGTGGTGAGGGAAAACCAGTGGTAAGGAAACATGATGAAAAGAGACCCAGTCCATGCGGTGGATAAACACTAAATCCAACGCTTCATTTTTGGTCGAATTCATCGAATATTTCATGGGGAATGCTGGCACAACCTACTCCTCCCATAATCCCAACTCCGCCTCCTGTGGCGATCCACACAAATCTCCTATCGTCTCTGCACGAGGACAGCAATACCCGCCTTAAATACCCCCCGGGTTTATCTGGGCCTCAGGACTGCTCTTTTGCACCTCTCCCATCAACTCTTTATTCGATTCTTACTATGGCGGATATACAGCCAATCAAAGCCCCACCGAGCCATCTTCGTAAGCAGCATTCTGATGCTAAATTTGTACACCATCGTCCAGCCTGTACCCCACACATATGCAACCGAGCAAAGTACCAGCCTCGTGCACACTCACAATGTACAGTACAGCAAATATATCGACCCCCCCCCCCCCCCCCCATCATCCAACACACCACTTGTACGAAATCGGCCACTTGACAACCTCACAAAGCGCCTCCCCAGCCCATTCCTCCCCCAAAACTTCAATACTCACGTGCCCCACATGCCTTCCAAACTTCACCACACCATCATCCTCCCTCCACATATCCACCACTATCCCTCGCGAGACCGTAGCCGGGGGTTGCTCGAGTATCACCGCCGGCCTCGCCACCTCCATCGTCAGCACATGAGCGTGCGTTATCCGGTAATAGGATTCCCAGCCTTTGACCACGAACGAGCCTGTGTGCGGAAGCGCCCAGTCTTCGGGGAATGTATAGGAAAAGTAATTCGATACCATCAGGCCCTCTTTGGTGCGGTGGCCCGACTCGCCAGCACGTAAGAGGCCTGCATAATTCGCATTCTTGTCCATGAAGGATTCCGGCGCCCAACGATACCCATCCAAGTCCATTCTGGGAACGTCCGTGAATATAAGGCTTGGGGGGAACTTGTCCACGCTATCGATAAGCACTTTCATTCTTGCCGTCTGGCTCTTTGCGGAAAGGATGTGTAGAGGGTCTATATCTAGCAGTGTAGCGACGCAAATTGTCTCGTCATCCATCCTACTGGAAAGCCGACCCCTAAGCGCACCGGCAACGCTCGGTAGCGCCGAATGACCCGCACCGAAGCGATAGCGAAGTTTTTGAAAACTTGTCCACCCGGCGAAATACACTGGATGAAAAGAAGCAGAGTGGTTGGTGTCCAGCCGGTACAGAAGTGTGTGATCTAGCATATTTGGACAATCCGGATACCGCGATAACGTCTCAAGGGCGGATTCCATAGCTATCTCGTCCTTGACAAACTCATCCGCGTCCGACGCCAGTGCTCGGAAAACTCGAGTCTCGAGCGGCGAGTTATCGACGTGCGGTCGCCCAAAATGCATTGTGCACAGCTTTGTCGGGGAGTTGGCCTCATACCAGATATCGGGGAGCGATTCCGCAACGATAGCCTTGTCGCTGAACTGGAAGTAGAGCTCCTCGGCGAGCATGCCCTCCTGGAGAGTCCAGAGACGCTGCGTCCAGGGCGTGCAGCGGATTCGCATCAGTAGCTCGTCGGCGGGCACCCTCGCGCTTGTGCCCGATAGAGAGACGTCGAGGACGAGAACTTTGGCTGCAGAGTCGTAAGTTTTGGCCATCCTCCTAATCGCAGTTTTGCGGGTCTCAAGGTGGAGAGGGACACACACTGTGTCCAGCCAGAACGGGACCGGGGATGCTGAGTCGTGGTCCGGATGGAGGGCGTTCACAAGCCTTTGTATGCGCCCAAATTGGCACTCTGGTAAGGAGTTGGTGTGCGGATTGCCCAGTCCATCAGACCATACATGAGACATTGCTACATAGGGTGTTGAGTCGGAGCTCTGCACAAGGACTTTCCCCCGGTCGTAGGAGATAATTGGGATTCCGCCTCTACACAAGACCTCAGTGACAGGTCTGTTGCCCTCCTCCTCGACAACTATATGCTCACATGTGCATGCTTCCGTGACATGCTTTGTTTGGTAAACCTTCTCGTCAATTTGGTTTGCTAAACACACCCTATCAGAGCACCTCGAGTGGTCCTTATTCAGTGTAAGCCTGTCGAAGGAACTAACATAGAATAATATCGCGGGTTCAGTAACCCCCAACATGTCCAATTCCCCAAGACACCACCCAGCCCTTTGCAACAGATACTTCCCAAACATGCTATACTCCCAGCTGAGCATCTTCACCTTTGGGAGCGAAAAAACTACCCCAGCAAGCGCATTATCCAGCAGCTCCCCGAGCAGGATCACCGAAAGCAGCACCGCATGGCCGGGTGGATAGCCGAAGCCCGCATTCCAAGCCTCCTCACTCACCGCGCCGACGGATAACTTGGCGAGCTGGTTCGCTGTGGAATTGACCAAAGAAAGGCACTCCTTCACGCGCGGCAAGTGCTCGGAATCGATGACCCAGCCGGGCACGCATTCCGCCGCGACCCACATCCACAGATACTTTGGAAGCCTTTCCGTCGTGACGATCCACTCGCCACCGGATTTCGCGACGAAATCTCCGATATCCACTTTCACATCCGCCGTGCCGAGGGCTTCCACCAGCGTGCCGAAGAATAGCCACTCTTGGAGGAAAGCTGCATGGTCGTCGAGGCTCAGATCCCCGTTACAGAGGGCGGACAAGTCGACTCCGACGCGGGATGGGTAGTCTTTGAAAGTGAAGTTCTCATATGAGTTCTTTGTCCCCTCGCATAGGAATGGAACTTGCAGCTGGGGTCGGACGGGATTCGAGGCTCGGGGGAAGTGGTCCCTGTGAAGGGTTAGACCAACCTGATAAAATGAGGGGCAAAGCCACGCATGTAGTTGCTTGCAGTATCAGAATCCTCTCACATCTGAATAAGATACTGCAAGATCTTCCAGCTCTCCTCGGGATACAGACGAGTACCGGCGGTAGTGAATGTCAACTGATCGTATGCAACTCCTCCTCCACCCCAGCTCCTCGTCGCACTGCGGAGGAAGGGAAGATTACTTTCCAGCTCCGTAGTGTCACTTACCTAATCAGCCATCTTGACCGCAACGCACGAGTAGCCAACCAGAGCAGGCGCTTAGACTAATTTACATTCCTCCTCCCCCTCACGTAACCCCGGGCAAACAGGGCAACCACCCATTGAAGTACCTATACCAGTAGTTAGTAGTACAAGTACCGGTACTGTACTCGAGCACGGTACCCTTACTTTTTACACGTACTCGAGTATTTGTACCACCGGTACTGCTACGGCACTAATATACCGGTATTACTTATTCCGCGCTGGGGTAGACTAACCAAAAGTGTCCCTACCTTTAATCCCAACTAATTCTTGCCTTGATACCTCTCGAGGCTAGACTCCCGGATCCATCCGTATCATGCGCCCCTGCAGATCAGAGAAATCAAATAACGTCGTAGATTTACGGAGGGGGGGGGAGGGAGACCTCGTGGACACGACACGATACGATAATACAGTCTTCACTTGGGGGGAAGAGGGGGAACAACGAAACTAGGCGGGTGACGAACAGGGGTATTTTATGGGTAGAAAGTAAATTCGCCAAAGCAGGGTAACAAGAAATTGACCAGTTAAGGATCCCTGTTCGTCACCCGCCCAATTCGGTCGCCCCCTCCGGTGGAGGGTGGAGATTGTAACGGTATGCGATTACCGCTATGGTGAGACCTCGAGGTTTAGATTTGGTGACTCAACGTGCTACATACGAAATCTAACTCGTGTGGCTCGTGTGAGACCTTACGGCGCTGGTAACGGTGATCGGGGGAGATAGGGTGGTGAGTGGGGCATTAATATGTGTAATGACATGACTCGGAATCATTCTATCATATCCCCGTTTCCGGGCGTGAGAAGTTTTGATACCGGTATCGCCGGCTGTCTGACTAGGGCGAAAGTGGCGTTGGTCAATGATTAACTTAAACTGGTTTGATGGGGGGAAAAAAAAAACATTGTCTGATAGAGGTTGCGCTCTGTCTGGGCTGAACCTTGAGTGTGTGAGCACCGGTAGACTACTGACTGACTCATACTCGTCGACAGCTTTTTGAATCGAGATCGTGGAGCAGATATAACAAGGAAAAGCTTCACTACCGTATCTGGAAAATGGGAAGAAGAAAAAAAAGGATACAGTTACTTGTACTGTACCCCTACCATACCATAGACTACCGGTAGTATCACCCACCCCACACACAATAGATTTCGGACAAAATCAGCTTATCGTAAGAGTACGGTACTTGTTTCTACCAAGGCTATCACATACAAAGCAGGTTAGCGGGGTAGCACAAGAAGCTCTTCCTTCTCAGCTCAGAGAGTACCCACCCTAGCCCACACACACACACAAAAAATCACTCGTACTTTACTCCATGTCCACGATGCTCCCCTATGATACAGCCCTCCAGATTCAAGATTCCCAAAGTGCCCTACAAAGGATCCTATCCTCCCATTATCGGGTACTTGTGCTTCCCGGCCAATGTCACACGGATCCTTAGAATACCGTAGGCCACAAGACCCATGGGATGAGACCCCTCCTTCCACCTTACGCACTACAAGTCAGAATCCGCAGCAAACTGCTATCAAGCGTATGAGAGCACTACACAACATACACCAGTGACCCACCAGTGATCCATACCAGTATCATATCATACTAAGCTCGGGTATTATACAACCCTTACTCCCCAAACCGGAACGTCAGACCAGACCCAAAGCCCCCAACCAGACACTCCGCGATAATTACCACTTCAATCTGGGGCCCCGGGGAAGTCTCGAGGCAAGCCTTAATCTCTCATTACAACCTGTGACACCTTAGGCTTGGGAATACAATGCACTCCCGCCCGGCCTCCAACATATGCGTGTATCGCGCTTGTAACCCAATTACACCTCACTTCATGCTGCCACATATCCCAAACAAACTCGGGCGGGAGACGATAGCACAGCGTATAGTTTTGACACTGTAAGCCGACTTTCCGTCAATCGCTTGGCAGTCGGGCACCGTGCTTGGCGGAGAAGGGCACACCACCATCGTGAGCAGGAGCGGTCCCAGTAGTAGATCCAAAATACCAGTACTGTACTCACGAACCCACCAGTAAGTATCGTAATAACTTGCACACTAAACAACAACAAAAAAGGAGGAAAGAGAGAAAAAGAAAAGAAAAAAAGATCCTTGGCTAACTGCTATCCCCTATTATACAAGTCATACAGGTACAAGTACCGTACTTGTGCAAGAACGCTGTACGAGCACAGTACAGTACCAGTGCATAACACAACAGCAACATCCCCGGACGAAAAGCACAAAATCATGCTTAAACCAAGCCAACCGTGATACAGCACTGCACAAGCGCCTCCAAATCCCAAAGAACGTCTAATGCCTACCGCACCGGTACAATAGTAGTATTGTACCATACTAGTAGCACTAGTACCTCGGCAGCCACTTCACCGCCAGTTCCACCAGAGCAATTTCCGCCCGAGACCGCGATCTATTCCAACTTGGCCAAGATTCCGCCCACAATCTACAATCCAGAGTGCAGAAGATATGATGCGATACCGGTCGCGGAGATTCTACCCATTCCTACAGTTCAAATCCCCTCCACTATTGCTACCACTCTCCACTTCACGGCCAACAGCAACAGTGATTGATAGTGCTACAGGAAAATCGCCGAAAACATTAAGGTCTGACCTCAAACTCCGGTACAGTACTCGAACTAAATAGGGCACAATATCTCGTTAATCCCACACAAGCCTATGGTCAATCTAGCAAAAGTGTGATAAATTGCCCTGCTCAAGCTACAGCCATCTAAATTTATAATCCCACAAGTCTGCCACCTGCCACATCACTCACTCACTCACTCACTCACTACCGCCCTTCCCATCCGCCCCATCCCATCGCCACCCCACAGTGACCACGAGCAGCACTCAGATCTCACGATCCCTTATTCACCACTAAAAACTGCACCATGAGCTGTTCATTCATCCATCAATTCTAGATCCAGAGCTCCTCCCCAGATTCCCATCCCATCCACCTCGCTTGTTCATCTTTCCAACGTTGAGGTAATACCTACATTCATGGTACCTACATAAATTTTACCTTACCTTCTTCCCCCAGCCAAGTTTTCGCAGACGGCGCGCGGAAATATGCAGTTGATCGATGCGATCTGTTGACGAGAGGGACAGTGGACTCTTGCTTAACGTGCATTTATGTATGCATCTTTGTATCCATTTAGACCTATATCCCCGCAAATTCGCTAGGACAGGACGAAATCCGTTTCTTTGGTTCATCGACTCTCAAAAGTCTCACACTTCAATTCACTTGCACACGACAGCAATTTTTTTCTCCACCCCCAAAAACAAATTTAATTCTTTATAAACCTTCAGTTCTCCAAACCTCCAACACCCCCCAAAACACACACCACACCACCCCTGACCCGGACGCGGGTGAACCGCTCCAGCGTTGATCAACAGACTGCCATAACATGTAAAAAACAAAAAACAAAAAACGCACGGGATAGAAACTCGAAACGTAGAAATGGAAAAACGATCGCCACATTAACTCCGGAATTCCCCACAACGAAACGAGACTACCGACCATAGCGCACAGGATATCCTCCACTTCGAACAAACGAAGGCGCAACGGCTAGCTTTAAACCAGCGAACTGGGAAGAATAAAGCAATAACGCAAGGTGAAAAAGGCTGAAAAGGACCGACGAATGATGTAGAAATAGAGAGAAAGAAAGTTCCCACCATTTATTCATAAATCGTTGAAAATGAAAGGAAAAAAAAAAAGCTGCTAGATGTTTAAGGTGTTGTTGAGTGAAAGAAAACATGCGAGAATAAAAACTGAGCCGTGAAACAAAAAGGCAAAGACTGCGGGAATGAACGATTGATAGGATTTGAAAAATGAAAGCGAAATTTGTGCCCTAGCGCCTATTTGTCAATTCAACTAGATATCAAATAAAACCGAGAAGAACCGGTTGAAACGAAATAAAAAAGACTGCGAATACAAAACCAAGAACGTTGCTAACACATCATTTCGAGAAATCTTCTGAGGAAAAAAGAGAAAAAAACTATGGATCCCAATTTCATTTAGAATTGCCGGGTCGTGAAGAAGGACCTCATACAATAAGACACCTCCACCATAGCATGGATCTTCAACTAAAGGTCGCGCCCCTCGCTAAACCGGGTGTATATCCCGGATAATGGGGATCTCGAGGATCGAGGCCCGCTCTCCGAGAATGTGTGCTATAAGTATGAGATCGCGACACACTGGGCGGTGTAAATGTCTCAGGGCTGAGCCGAGGAGAATGACCCGGTGAGCGATGTGAGTGATGCCGTGCATGCGGTCGCGGCGGCGTGCTAAGCGGCGAGTGTGGTGAGTGTGGGTGATTGCTAGGTGGCGATCCAAAGCGAGAATCGATAGTACTGCCACCAGAATATGGCACTCCAGTAACCTGCTCGACAAACTCTGGGGGCAGAGTACCCCCAACAGGCTCGGCGGGGTGACTCGAAGGAGATGTCGAGCCAGGAGCCCGACGAGATTGATATTGATAAGGGAAGTGGGGTAGGGGACCAGTTGTATGCGGGACAGGGCCTTGTGGAGTCGGCACGGGGCCCGGGGCGGTAGCCTCGTCTTCATGAACGTAAACCTCAAAAGTATATCGCTTCCAATTGCCGGAGCGATCGCACCTGCGATTGTCAGAGGGGGGAACAGGTTAACAAGACTAAGGAAGCAAAACATACCCATGGTGGACTTCCGTTGCGGTTCGCGTGGCCCCCGGACTCGGCATCTTCTTGTCGGTGAGAGGTGTGTCAGTTGAAGGACTTGAATAGCCGGAATCACACGGAATATCCCGTTGGTTGCGTTGGGCCTGTTTTTCGATGGTAGGACTCGAGTGCCTCCGTCTCGGGCCGTGACTATTATTAGGATTCATGGTGTGAGGGGCGGGGTAGACGGGGTGCTGAGGGGCCGAGGATCCATACACATAGGCAGGTCTCTTCGTCGGCGTGGACGGAATGTCCTCTCCGACTCTAGAAGCGGTGGATGATGATCCTCTGCGCATCGGCGGTGATTTTGACGATTTGCGTTCCCGAAAGGGCGGGACATCAGTACTCCTTCCCAATCCGCCACTCCCTCCCAATCCCCTCCTCAATTCATCCTGCACAGCCTGTTCCCTCATTATCTCTTCCTTCTCCTCCCTCAGTTTACGTTCCTTCTTCTCTTTCTCAAGCCTAGCCCTTTCCCGTGTTTTCTCCCCTATGCCAGCCTCTCTCGCCTCGTCCGACATACCTCCGGATGTCTCCTCCGTCAACTTCCTCCTGATTCCCTCCAACTTTGCCTTCTCAGCAGCCTTCATCTCAAGATAACCGGGCCGTACCGCTTCCTGGGCAGGTTGTGGCTGTGGCTCGGGAGGTCTCGGGATATCACGAGCTGACTGTGGAGGCGAGTGTCTGGGCATATCTCTGGACGACAGAGGTGGTTCCTTGTGGTGATGTGACGAGGAACCATAAGTGGCTTTCCTCGGCGACTCCTCAGGATATCGTTGGCCGTAGGACTTGTGTCTCGAAGGCTGTTCTTCCGGGTAATGTGGATGACCATCGTAGGATCTTGAAGAGGGTTCCGAGTGTTGGTGGCGATACGACGACGATTTCCTCGGCGATTCTCGAGGGTCCTCAGCATGTCTCGATGATGGTTCCTCCCGAGCCCTCCTATCCTCCTCCCTCCTCCTACTACTCCTGCCATGCCCCCTCTCCCTCTCCCGCTCTCCACCCCGGTCCCTATGTCTCTCTTCCGACGACTGACCACCACTACCCCCACTCTTGGATGGCCCAGCGGCAGCCGCCGCCGCCGCGTTCTTCACTCCATCGTCGTATTTTCGACGGCGACGATTATCAATGAGTAACTCGTAGGCTTCTTGGACCCTTTGAAACTGTATCGCCTTTTCGGCACGAAGCGACTCGTCGTGAACTTTGTCGGGATGACATTGCAAGATGAGTTTTTTGTACGAACTTCGAATAGCCGGTGGGGCAGCATCCTGAGGGAGTCCTAGAATTACGTAGGGATCTGTAGTCATGGTGATCACCATGATCGCGGTATACTCGAGCCAATGGTTGACAGGAGATATTATGATTACCTCTGGGGAGACGAGTAAAGATGACGGAGGCCAGTTTGACAAAGAGCGGCTGCTGTATAAAAATCAAGGAAACAAAAAAAACGAGCAAACTCAATGAATGATTTAGTCTTCGATAATGTTTTTGGTTTGGTTTTGTCGGTCGACCAGTTAGTTTGTGGTTGCCGATGTGAAAGGATCAAGTTGTAACCAGCGGCAAAACAGATTGATTTAGCGAGATGTTGACCCTGAATGAAAGAATGAACGATTATGACATTCGTCAAGTAAACTTATTGACGATCTACGGTCAATAATAAAAAAGGGTTCGTCTCTCCCTTTTCCTCCGATTCTCCGAGAAGGGGGCTGTGCTGTCTCGCGCTGAGCTGAAGGCGTATGTAAACGTGGTCGAGATGCTGGATGGCTCGCAGAACCTTGAGAAAATGACGACGAGGGGGCGAAAAGAAGCGAAGAGAACACAATGGAAAAAAAGGAGAGAAAATGCAAGAACGAGAAACCGACGGGCAAGCTGGGCCAGTAGGGCTGTGACTATGAAGAAGTATGGAATAGAATAAAAATATATAAAAAAGCTCTGCCCTTCGCCACCTATCACACACTCACTCGATCGAGACCCGCTTGTGTAATAACAAGGGCGTTAACTCCGTTTCCGAGGGTGGGCAAACGGACAAACGGTCGGGAATTTGATGACAAGCTCGAGCAGAGATGAAGCAGATTTGTTCCGAAGGGGTGAGAGGGAGTTTAAAATGTAATGGATGGACGGATTGCAAGTTAATGCAACCGGGTTGATGAGGGGTGGGAGAAAGAGAGAGAGGTGGAGGTTGAGGGAGATTTGGTGCTGACGAAGGCTCAAGTAGCAGGGAGGGATCAGTGTTCCCGGCAACAACAACCGACGCGACAGATACACGCTGCAATGGAGGAAGCAGCGAGAGAAAGGGAGGGAGGGAGGGAGGGAGGGAGAAATAACAGCGAGGGAAAGGGAAGAGCGAATCGAGAGGAGGTGAAGAGAAAGGGCGGACCGAGTTGTTTGGTTTCGGTGTAGAAGGAAGAGGAGAGGGTGAGGGGGACGAAGCGGAGGTCCTTCAGGGGGGAACGGAAGGGGAAAAGCAATGGGAGGGTAACAACGATTCCTACACTCTTCCCTGCTTCCCTGGTGGAGGAGGGAGTGGTGTGTGGTGACTGGTTGGAAGTGGATGATAGATGCGCCGGCCAGTGCTCGGGGAGGAGGGCGTTCGAAGGGTAGTCTACCCGTACCAGTGCCAAAGAGGAAGACGTGAAAAAGCAGTACTCGAGTAGACTACGGAGAAGCAGTGGAAGGAATATCTACTCGCAGATAATCTGCAGAGAATAATATGGCACAGTGCCGTATGATGATGATGATGATGGTGATGATGATTCCAACCGCTGTATCTCGAGTATGCTCTAGTATCATACTAAAACCTAGTCTACACGGGTACCGTATGATAGAGTCCGTACCAGAACGCGGTAGCAAATCATAAAGAGGCCCCTCGAGCAGCACACTGAAGGGGAAAAAAATAAATATAAAATCCACAGCACGAGAGCAACAGAAAGAAAAGGGGCGGGAGAGAAGGCAGAGTGATGATAAAACTGATGGGCGGATTCCCATACAGGGGAGAGCACGAGCTATACTCGAGTGGATTCCTTTTTCCTCACAATCTCTCCCTATCTCTCTCACCTTCTCCCTTCCAAAGAAACCCTCTCGACCAGTATCCAATGCAGAAGACGGCAGACGAATTAGATAGACGGTTGGCCCAGGATTCGAAAAAGCGTTAGACTAAACATCGTGAATCCACCCACCATGTGCATCTGCACTTCACAGAGAGTTACACCGGAGAAGCAGAAGCAGAAGACAAGACAGGTTTCCAAGAACAGGAGAGAGAGGGAAAAAAAGGGACACCCTCTCTTCGCTTTCCCCAATCGATGGATATACTCCACAGTGATTGGCTCCACAGCACCTTGTCCGCTTTCTCACTTTTTTTTTTCTTTTTCACTTTTCCCCTTCCATTCCCTTGCTGAGAGGTCCCCCCCCCAACACGCACACTCACACCAAGAGAAGCATGATCTCGATTCCCACTAGTGATGAGTTGTCCAAGAAGGCTATTCTACCATCTATCCATCCACACATCCACCCCTCCAGCATCCGGCGTCTCCAATCGATCCGCAATCCATTCGGAAGGATTGGGGGGGGGGGGGGGGGGGAATACTCGTATATGGCATTTAAACAACGATAATTTACCCAATAGGGAAATTCTTATTTATCACCGCTAAAGCATGGAGAAAAGTGAAGGAAAAAAGAAAACAGTAACACCGGTAGGAGGGGAAAAAACACGACACCACGGGCGGGTAAGAGAGGGCTGGCATCGCCCATCGACATCTCATCCCAATCCAGAAAGCTTCCACTGCTCGTACAACCTTGGCGTTAGTGGGGGAAACCAGAGAAGGGCGGGGAAGGGTGGGAAAAATAGGAGGGGGGTAGCGCAAGGAGAGAGAGTGAGGAGGGGTGGATGATGGTGGAAAGGAGTATCGTACTTGGGCATCCTACTCGCCCAAGTGAGCCAGCTGGGGGGATGGGTGAGTTAGACTAGTCTAAGTGGCCATCAAAGGTACCGTACGGTAGTCGCTTGGGAATTCCTTACGATACGGGAATATACGTATCATATCCATGAGAACGGCACAGCGCATCAAACCCTTCCCTTCCTCCCATTCAAGGAATCAGTCAGGAATCCGATCGCGCGAGGACACAGGCAGGAACCAAGTTTGAGCTACAATGGCATTTGCTTCAGAATCTGTAGAGTACCGCACAGCAGCGGAAATCGTGCGAGTTCATCCAATTCACATCCAGCCACCACCACCTCCTCCTCGCTTCCCATGATAAGATACAGCTGATGGTCGACCGGTTTCCTCAACCACACACACACACACACAAAAGACCAAACTCGCTCGCAAAGTTAGGAGGAATAACGGAAAAACAAAGTCGCAAGCGACAAGTCCCGTGGCGATAACCTGAACCATTTATTTAAACTACCGATATCACATCTCTTCTCGAAGCATGTCATCCACCATCCCCCTCCCTGCTTTCCCCTCGCCCCATCCCCTCTTCCCTCCCCCCACCCATTCGAGTGAATTCACCCAGGGAAGGACGTTAGCAGAACCTCGAAAAAAAGCGAGGCGCCCCACATGACCCCATCAGGACGAAGCCAATAACGCATCGCAACCCTGGTACTCGTACTTGTACCAGAACAACGCATCGCGTAAACCGCCCCAACTAACTGGATTGATCATTGCGATTACAAGGACCGCCACCGCCAAAAGCAGCCATTCCGTAAACAGTTATTTATTGATGGTTGCGGTGAACTTACCCCGCACAGAGATCGTTTCGGGCCGAACCTGTTTCTGGGACAACGGCGGGGATGGGCGGAGAGGGAACGGTATATAAATTACGATATAGTTGTACGGTGATGATGACAAAGGGATTCGGGTTTCGATAGGGATTGGGGATTAACCGAAGAAAGTCAATCGAAATGACGTTACGTGAGACCATGATCCACGCGTGATTATTGGGGGTGTCTGGACGGAGTAATTGTGTCTGCTTGGCTTTGACCATGACCCTCCGAGAGACTCAGCCCGTCTCTCTTGTTTAGCACTTAACTTGTGCTCATACCTGTCCTCGTATGATGCCGTGACTTGTCATGCCAAATACCGGTAGAGGAGAAGCAGAATGGTGGGGTGGAAACAAAGAAAGAGATAACGAGCAGGATTGTTTACTCGAAGGGAGCGCAACCTGAATTTCTGCCCCTACGATCCATAATTTACATCCATCCACCCAACCACTCGCACCGCAGCAGCAGCACAGCATCGTGCCTGAAAGTCCCGTCCGCAGCCAGATGCCATCACACCCCCATCCCATCCCACATCATCCCGCCATCCCAGCGTGACCAGCTCCGATATGATAGGCCCCGACAAAGGTTCAGTTCTAACGCTCCGCCCCACCTACGAGTATAATAATTGCGAGTGCTACACGACCGACGACACTAGCACTAGTACGGTGCCTATCAAGCACAGGACAGGAATGTACGAGTAACATGATCACCCCCAGTCTCCCTCCACACGGTCACTGCTCTACCGAACATCCCTCCTCCTCCTATACCTGTACGGTACTGTACTCGATTAGTGCGGTACCGGTATGATAATAATTTTTCGAAAATTTCCAAACCAAGGAGATATGGCTCCATAGGAGTGCTTGGGAGACACTTTCTAATAAACGCAATGTTCGTGGGGATAGCGGAATTTCGAATTATCATACCCATGCATGACCCCTCCCCTCTCTCTGAGCCCCAGCTCTCGGGTGTACGAGTACTATATAAGCAGAATGTACGAGTACGGTGGGGTACCGTATGATACAGTGTGGTTCCCGGACGTCAAGGATAAAGTGAGGTGAAGGGGTGTGTGTGTTTGGCGCGCTGGCAAGCCGGATGTCTTGGAGCCACAGTGGCAGGAGGATTACCGTACCGTAGAAGGCTCGCCTCAACCTTTTTTCCAACCTGAAGATTGGCCTGTATTTCCGGCCACAACCCATCGAATTCTGGCCAGTAAGGAGCTGGAACCGCCTCACTTTTGCTCACCCCCTGGTACCGGTACGGCACACGTTCATGGATTGCTGATTTCGAGTACGGTACAGTACCCTGCGCCGTGCCCCCGCCGGAGATACGCGATGAACAACTGTACCTTCTTGGCGACAAAAGAAATGTACCCCCTCCCCGGTTTTCCATGCAAAACACCGATCTCCAGCAGACGGCGGACGAGAAAAATTAACCAAGTATTTCTTCTTGACGGGGAGAATTTGAACCCAAATATTCTCGTGGTCCAATGCTACGCCACAGGAATTATTCCGCAGAAAATCTAAAAACCCACGAATTCTAGGGCGAGGGGGAGAAGGGAAGGTCAAAATCTATGCTAAGATGGCTAATCCTTTCTGGGATTTTGCATCTTACGGGTTACCGTAGTCTCATAGTAATGAGCCAACTTCATGTCTCTGTACCCGTATTTGGGATAGCCAATAAGGATTGACAGATCAATAATATTAAGGTTCCTATGGCCGCCGCTCATATTAACAAGATTTCGGAGGACGAGATTCCATGTGGGGTGCGTTTCTTTGGTTACTTGTACCAAATTCACAACAACAACCCCCCCCCCCTCCCCTAAAAGCCACAGCGCAAACTAGAATAAACCAGGCTAGACCAGCCCGTACGCGAACCTAAAAAAAACCAATCCCGTATCATAGCATTAACAATGACAACAACGAAACAATACACAACCACACCGGCCTGTCATATCTTCACGCAGGCACACAGGGTAGGCGTACCTACAAAAGATCAGCCAACCAGCCAGACAAGCAGGCAGAGTAGGAGTAGAGGAAACCAGAGCAGAAGCGACGTAAACCCGAACCCAAAATATCGGCACCACGTCCCATCACTCATCGCATATCATCGCATAAGGCTACCAATGCACAAGTAATATAAGCGTTTAACCATTCATACACCCATCCACCGCTCTAGCAGTATAATTGGCAGGATATACGTCGAGCCACCTTACCGGTAGTTGCCCTGCCCGGCAACCCCACAGCCTCACTGAGAGAACCTAACCTAAACACCAGAGGGTCCCAACCCACCCCAAATGGGTAATACCGGTACGCTACTGTACGAGTACAGTACGAGTACTCGCGCCTTGTCCTATATAGCCCTGTCCAAAAGTTCCACGTACTGCGCAACTGCATAGCACTGTACCGTGATGCGAGATAGGGTAGGATGAAACGGAGGGTGAGCCAGTATAGAGATTTGGACCGATGTACTGTATCACGTTTACAGCGCTTTGCAAAATAGTTGCTCTGGATTCGGGTTTTGCTTTCTTTTTTTTCCTTTTTCTTTCCTTCTTTCCTTTTTTTTTTCTTTTTTTCTTTTTTTTGGAGGCGGAGAGGAAGGGCAGACGATGGAATGTGGAAGGGCTCCGTGGGTGGGTTGATTGGCGTTTGTTGGTTGGTTTGTTAATGAATGGAATACTGTACTCGAGTACATTGGTACGGTACAGTACAGTACTCGTACAGCGCCGTATTGTATTGGGCCTCACCCCGCCGTCTACCCCCCCCCGAATGACAGTGCTAGTACGGTACTCGTACTCGTAGTGTACAGAACATAAGGCAATGTCCATCATATCATATCATATAGTGTCACAGAACGGCACCAGAGCGGCCTACTGTAATTCTACGCTTCCGCGCGCCCTATCACTTTACACATTAGTCAATCTGTTCCACACTTGCGGCGCGGGTCGCCCGTTCGTTAATCTCCGCGGCGGCGTGTCCAAGTTGTCTGGTTGTGGAGAGAAAATGGCTCTTTCAGCACTCCCCACGAGGTCAGGTAGGGCTTAAGTTAGGTTGACATGTGCCCGGACGAGATCAGGTCGCAATGGAAATGGCTCATTGAAGGAGTGGATGGGAAGGGCGTTGCTGAGCTTAGGGCTAACGCGCTGGGCGGGATATGCTATGGTCTGATATGCCATGTGCGCCATGCACTGATCTGCGGCATTATCTTGTGGGAATATTAGGGAACGGTGGTATTTTGGGGTATCGCCTTTGAGGGGTACAGTACCGTACGGGTGGTCGAGCACGGCGGGGGGGGGGGTTCCACTATTCCAAGGTAGGATGGAACTTTTGTCTACTATGTTTTGACTTGGGGTTGGAATGCTTATTCAATCCAGGAGTCCGGTACGGTATCATACAGTAGAATACCGGTAGAGGTCCATTCCAAGCTACCAACCAGAAAAAAAGAAAAATTAAAAAATTGGTACCCGTACTGTACCATGCTCGGGGGGGTTTTTTTTGTCCCCTAGTTACCCTTCCCCTGCCAGAAGCACTTGAAAACAAGGATTGGGTAATTATATAGCAAAGAATCTATGCGTATCTAAGTGACATTACACAATGTATTTACCATTTTCCGGTGCTTCTAGCTCGGAGCAGCACCTGTCACCGCACCCTATTCACCCGCAATTTGCTGACATTAGTGAGCACAGCGGCTATCGCACAAGTGCAAAATTTGGCCGGAGCCTCAAGATTCCGGCGGTCTGCAATGCGGGCTGTAGTCGTGTTCACAAACGTCAGAAAGATACGAGTATACAGGAGGCCTCCTCGTTTTCACAATGGGTAAACACCCCAGCCTTCAATACAATTGTTTTCAAGCATCGGAGCCTCTCTCTCGCACTGGCGTGGGTGCGAGGAATTGAAAGAATTTACCGACCAGAGAGGTCCACCCCCCTTCAATCAATATGCAATTCGATGTAAACCCGTACTCGAAAGGCCTCTATCTGCCATACACCCCTACCATACGTGTCCGTTTCCACCCGGTCCTCCCATCCGCCTAGTAAACCGAGCGGAACCAAACAAATGTAGGGAAACATCCCAGCCTAGCCTTCACCTATCTCCAGTGCTTCGAACGCCAAACACCCCCACCACAAACAAAACTCACTGCGACGCGGGGGTGATATGATACCACCATCATACAAGTGCCGCATCATGCACAGCCCCACTTACACCCACATCACGTGCCCCACTCCCGCCTCGAAACTATGATACCACAAGCGGCAGCCATCCTGCAGGAATACCCTCGTTAGCCCAAGACATCACAAAGAATCACTCGAAACACTCTGTTTTTTTTCATAGGAGAGGAGGTATCACACCCACACCAGACCAAAACATTTCCGACAAAAATTATCCTACCCAGCACGGGGTAATCGGCCGTCAGACAATTAGTCCAGTCTTACCTAACCGTCGGCGCACGATGTTACCGGCTGAAGAAAAAAATAAAAAAAGCAGAAAAAAACCTCCTGCTCCCCACAAACCAACCCACACGGAGCCCGGGGGCCAAAGAACCGCACAGTGCGGTGAAGCCACTTACTTAATCAGAAAGTCTCCAAGAAACAAACTTCCTATTCGCCCATGGAACGGGCCCAGGCCCCCTCCCTCCCACACGGACCGCAGTGGCGATCACCCAGCCCTCTCTCTGTTCAAGTATGATACTGTACTGTACTCGAGTATAGTACTGCGCTTGCATGCATATATGCTCGAGGAGATGTAGAGTATTGTAAATGCGGATGAGATCTCACCGCTCCCCGTCCCTCCCTCCCTCGCACATACTCGTACATGCACTATACAGTGCTCGAGTACTCGAGTACAGGTAATATCGCGGGACGGCTCTTATCCCTCTTTTCTGCCTTCCGCTTGGAAAAGGTAATGTTGCCTTGCCGGTGTAGTGCTTGTTGTGTTATCGGGTCTTATGCTGTGCCGGATCGAAGGAGAGTACTGTACTGTACTCGACTACGGTAAGTCTACGTGCAGCTAGACTGCCCTTTGATTTGCTTTGCTGTGCAGTGCGGTCGGGTTGGGTGGGCTTGTGCGGGGGTTTGGGTAGCGTATGTGTGATAAATGGTACTGTACTCGAGTGCTCGTAGAGTACCGGTGTCGCAATGCTGGTGCCATAGATTCCCGTCACTGGCCGGTTGGAAGGTGGTTTACTTTAGCTCAATGTCGGATATACCGGTACTTGTACGGGTACCCTTCTTGTACTCAAGTACTTGTGCAAGGGTACGATTTATGCATGAATGTATATTTGTATCCGAGGAACATTTTGAACGCAATTTAATCAAGTCCTATTTGATTCAATCCGTTCAGATCTACCCACGTACCACGTACCATACATACCATACCGGTGCCTACCCCCCCCCGCACGCGCAAAAGGTAGGAAAGAAGGAAAAAAAGGGCCGGAATCCCATCAAATGCGGATGCAAGCAAGGGAATAACGAAAAGCATGTAATTGACCCTGTCTGTCCCACCCACGAGCTGTTCCCTAAAGGTCAACTTTAACCTGCGCTTGAACGAACCCTTGCCGAGATTCCCACATAAAATTACCGTATACGGAAAGTCCACCACCGTACATGTCTAGTCTATGCCCGCTTCGGGCTTCCTTTTCCCGAATAGACTAGCAAAGAGAGAAGAAAAAGAAAAAAAAGAAGTAAAGGCACACCGACCGCACAGCCGCCCTCTATCCGATAGGTTGACTGGTTCATACCATATCATAGCAGCCTATCGAATCGAATCAAATCATGAAGGGAACAGATCCTTCCACAAGCCCATCCGCTAAAAATCAAAAAAATCCCCGCATCTCAATTAGCATTCAAAAACCGGTTGTTAAGAATTTCAACCCAATCCGAATTCTCCCCAGGTACACCCTTTTTCCACTTTTCGAGGGAAGAGAAAATGACAACTCACCCAACTTGCTAGCTATAGCCCAAACCGGCAGATATCTCCTTATTTCGTGCAGTGCAGGAATCTCGTCAGAAACCTTGTTTCCATCGCTCCACAGGCAAACAACTCTACCGTCCAAACCTCCTTTAGAATCGCCGCTGCCTCCGTCTTCACCATTGTGAATGCTTCGCTTCTTCCTCACCGACCTCAGCTCTGTAGCTGCGACCTTGTTAGTAGGAGACATGACTAGCGAATCACTGCTCTCGTCCTCCTCCTGATCTCCCTTTTCCCAAGTGAGCTCCACACTCCATCCTCGCTCCCAATCCCTACTCCAGAGCCGCAACTCTCTAGTATTCGGGAATCCCGGAATGGGGTTACCGAGGGTTGGGGATTTGGCAAGTTTTGACTGTCCATCATACTGCCCGTTGGGCCCGCTTAAGTTGCCATCTGCGGGTTGCTCCCCATGGCCGTTCAGAACCTCGACCTTGACTGGCTTGTTAAACAGCAGTTTGCATGCCCGGGTATTTCTCCCCCAAAGTGTTATCGTCGCTTTCCCGTCTTCGGTCTTGGAGATATTGTAAGAGATCCAATCACTGAAGCCGTGCTTAGGTGGCACACCACTAGGCGCTTGTGGCACGACCCTTGGTGCTATCCCCTTCCAGGAACATCTGCGTAGTCCAAGCTTGAGCTTGTCGGCTTGACATATGTCAACTTTGCCTTCTGCGCTAGGAATGTATTCTGAGACAATTCTGTCGATGTAATCCGGGTGCCCGACGAGATGGACATTGTTTTCTCCTGTTTGAAGATCTACTGTCTGCTGAAAGTAAACCTTCAATCTCGCGTTTGGAGAGAAAGGGAATGCTACTAGGTTGTAGATGAACGTCCCAATGAAGACGACAAATATAAACAACGTGACGTGGTAGGTGATTCGGTGCAAAAAGGGTGTCACGGGTAGAAACAGAATTATAGAAAATATTCCAAAGCCCAATAATACCGTAAGCATGCTACTTCCGTCAGCCCCGGTCTGTGCTAGCGCATTTCCCAAGAGGAGTGCCACTGAGCCAGCCAATACTAGTTGCAAAGGTACTGTCACCAAGAATTGTAAAATCCATGTCCATGATGGTAGATCCTTGCTCCACCCTTGCTCATCCCCATAAACCGCCTCATCCTTCTCCTCAACAGGGATTTCCCCAGTATAGTGGTCACCACTGCCGTAACGGGGGCTCCTATGGGGAGCAAATGACAACGGCCTATTAGGTCCACGAAAAAGCGGAGTTTCTTCAGTAGCAATTTCGGTGGTATCGTCATCGTCGTTGGCGGCAAGATTAGAGACATTCTCGGACGCTCCAGTCAGAGAATGTTCTTCCGAAGGAAATGCCCGATCATCTCCCCCACTGATAACAACGTTGATTTCACTCTTCCTTTGAAGTGCGGCCATCTCTGAAAGGGAGATAAAGGCAGAAATAAAGAATCCGGAGTAGAAGAAGAGCACCCAGTATCCGCTGCCCAAATGCGACTTCCCGATACTTAGGGCAACACCAATCATAGCCACTAACCACAGCAACCATTGCTCAAGAAACACATATCCTCTAGCTAACGCCGTAGGCCTAACTGCATCTGCGCCCCGGAGGATCACCCACGCGATGATCCACCAGGTGGATAGGAAGCAAATCCAAACGGTATATTGTGAGGAATAGACAACCATTGGGTTAAGCTTATTGATTAGGAAGGCCATTCCCACAACACCAGCACTAGCTGCGACGAACGCCACTGGAAAACGGAGTGCCCCGCGCCATCCCTGGGTCGTTCTCGAAGCGATAGAGTGTTCTGGCGGGGGTGATATATAGGCTGTGTTCGAAAAAAAGTAAAACTTGTCGGAATGGGCAAGAGCCCACATGGTTACTACTATTGCAACAAAGGGAACGGCAATCAACGTGATGGTGAAGGCGAAAACTGTATCTAGACGAAGTACTGGGAAAGCTCGACCGAAGACTGATGGTTGTTAGAATTGACCTGAACTTGGGGATACGGCCGGAGCCATACGATCAAACCAAACAGCGTTGTGACCTTTCCCTGCGCCTCCGTTCGGTGGATCGAAGACTTTACTGGGATCATCAGTCATGGCTCGTAGCGTGGTCAAAGACCCGCCAAGCATGTGCCAAAGTGACCTTTTGCTTGCTGTAGCCGACGTCAGTGGGTTTCTGCGCAATTCCGTCGTGGAGAAAACCTACAGTGTCTGGCGTCATCCTCCGTAGTGTGGTACCGACTCCTGGGTTGATAGAATGCTACATCGAGACCCCTCATTCCGAGATTCCCAACGAAAACAGAGTAATCTGTATTGCTCCTGTACGTAGGAGAAATGTTTTTATTAATTCCCGATCCGTCTCTCTGAGAATGAAATATTATACCTGATTAGTCCGGCCTTAAAGCCATCACCGCTAACAATAGTTCCGAAAGGTCTTTTTGCTTTTTTGTAATATTTCGTCACTTCGGCATCAGTGGATCTAAAGAGCGTTGCTCTTCCACCAGCGCCGGCGCCTTCCAAATTCAAAAACGAATCTGAAACCCCAGATCTGTTAGTAATTGCAACTCAGGAGCGCCCCTGCGGCCTAGCTGAGACATGGGGAGTGATATCGTACGAGGTAGTTTGGCCACAGGATGCATGGCAAATGCTCTTGCTCCGTTCTAGATCCCCAGAACATCAGTGAGCACACTTTAAGGCATTGCAATAAGTTCTACCAACCAAATAATCCTCTTCTCCATTATTCAACAAGGCTACTAATCCACGCTTAAGTCTCTTCCCCCCTTGGCTTTCGGGGCGAGTAAACGATTTGATGATTTGAAGAATCGAGACAACGGCAGTACCATCGTCGGTTGCACCTGAGGTAAACAAGCCAATCATTCAGCAAACATCCAGCCAATTGACCATCGCAGGAGCAATGTGTAAAGTAAAAATAGTGTGTAATGCAGAGAATTTCTACACTTGGGTGCTGCGGGTGGATATGTGGCGATTATTCGATGCATGGCAGTACGGGAAAATTGCAAGTTGAGAGTAGGTACAAACCATAGCCAGTGGAGACGCTATCATAATGAGCACTGACAAGGACGGGTGACAATTCGTCGGCGGGCCGATCTCCATGAATATAAACAATTATATTTGTTCCTTCAAAGTATACCTATTGTGATGTCATCACAGATGTCAGTTTCTGCCACACACCGCTCGGACGGGTCGGGAACGGGGGCGTGCGATACCGTAAGATCTTCCCTCCCAGTGCCGGCAAACGTAACGTTACTACCGGGCTTTCCCGGGATTCCGTCATCGAATAGATCTACCGTTCCCGAATACCCATCGCCGGACGATTGGAGTTCATTCCCGAAGCCTGCGACTCCGTTCCGACTCAGTATACCTTGGATCCTCTCCAGCAGGTACGCTCTAACATCATCATTCGGTCGACTGTTATACGGATGGAACTTCCTCGTCAATACCCCCAAATCACTCCAGGCTTCCTCAACATCTACTCCCCAGTAGTCTAGCTCTCCCTTCTTCGCCACTGCCGGCGGTTGCCTATCGATATATAAGAGGGCAGAAAATAACGAGACGTAAGTGATCACAGTGAGGAGTGTAACCGGAAAGGGCTTGAAGCCGAGGATTGAGTTGACGCGCGTCATTTTGGGCTTAGAGGAATGCCGTCCGGTTCGAAGGGGATGCCGATATAGAGAGGCCGTAGTGAAGGGGAACAGAAGCCTGTAGGAGGAGCCTGAGGTAGTGGGAAGAGTAGAGTAGAGAGACTCGCGGATGGAGTGCGTGTGAATGGGGTGTTGGTGCCACGGCGATAATGCAAGGGGCAAGAACAGCTCGGGGTTATCGAGCTGGAGGCTTGCAGGATGTTAGAAACGGGAGGTCAAGAGGACCATCCCGGGATGCGTGACCGGGGAAGTCGAGGCGGTGAATATTATGGTTGGAGCGGGGAGATCGAGGGCTGTATTGAACAGCAGTACGGAGGAGGCTGACAGAGGGCTAAGGATGGAGAAACAGCCGAAGGGGAAGGAGGAAGGAGTCGAGATGCACGGTTTTGAGAGAAAATATATGGCCAAGGCTAGTTTGATCAAACACAGGATGGAAGCAGAGTGTGACGTCTGCAAGCATCTCGCCTCTGAGGGTAGGTTAATCCTCCGGTCTGATCCTGCGGAGTATTCGTGGAAGTACTGTAGGCCTGAGCGAGAGGGTCTACGCCAATGCACGGTCCAGATGCCAAGACTTGTGCATTGAAGGGTCACCAGGGGCCCCCCGATAAGCTTGACCTCAAAATTCCTTATCTACCGGCCCTCTTGGGCGCTGTGCGAGCTGTGGAAGGTTGGGTACGGTACTTGTACCTGTGTACTGCTATTATTCCTTGCTACAGGTAGATCCGAGAAGTCCACCCTTCTGTGGTATTCGATGACCCTAGCGCAACCCAAGGGCCTACGGTAGTAATATTGTCGTTTGCGTTACCTCTCTCTGGTTGAGAACGGATCTTGTCCTGTTTGCCAGTACATTATCCTCCCAGGCCATGTTTTGTGCGCTTGTGGAATACCGATAATTTACTTGGTAAGTTACCGGTAGAAATCGAGATGGCCTGTGCCGGTAAAAGGGTTGGGTGGTTCCCAAGCACTACCCCCATCACAATTCCTCAACCGAGACATGTCCGATGTTGAATGTAGGAGTAGCGGATATTGCAGCATTGAGTGTTCGGAAGAATGGGAGGTCATTCGGCTTATACGGTGATGGCTTTAATAGGATATCCAGAACGAATAAGCTATGATATCTGGACGTGGCGTGCGGACGGCCTTACGATAATATTATTGTTGCGCTCCTTTGAAAGGAAACTAGAGCCCCAAGCCCAGGACAATACGAGATCGAGGTGTTGGTTAGAGATGGCTAAGGTCGGAAATATATTATCCCTTCACAAACATGAACACTTCATGCTCCTTGAACCTCTGGTATCGTTTCTGCTGTTGTCATAGGCGATGTTGGGAATTCCCCGAGCCGATTTTACCTCGAGGAGAACTTCACGTGCATTTGCTACTCATAGCGGAGAAGGCGTACCGGTACGAGTACTGTACTCGTACTCGGGCGGAGCCATGGGCCTTTTTTGCCCCATCCGGTCGGTTGGGGAGTCGGCGCCATGGGTGTCGGGCAAGGCTTGAGGCCTGTCTGGATACGACCGTTACGTTCCGCCCCCACGCGAACGGCCGTTACCTTCCGTTATGAGGATGCCTAGACAACCGTTTCTCCAGGTAAAGCCATCACTAAACAGGACGGTCGGCCCGCCTATGATACCGTTCCAGCCAAACAGGCCCTAGTAGGTCATGAGGGGCACTTGCGATCTGAAGTTCTTAGCGAACGGGTTTCTTGTGATTGGTATCGTATCAGCTGTAGGACTGGTATTAGGAATGGTAAGAGTTGGTTTACGCCTGTAACTTGGTCTTCGCGTCATACCTTCTATTCCAAGACTAGTTATCCATACCGGTATTTTCACGTTCTTCCCGGCAGTAATCCGAGCCCGTAGTCTAAACAGTTCTCCAAGCCATCCTCTCCCCCCCCCCATATCATATCATAGCTCGTCCCCCGAAGCTAGTATCCCTAAGCCTTCGATCCTAGCCCTTTTAGAACATGGTGTGCGCGCTCCCAGTGCCAAAACTGACCTTATCCTCTACCACTTCTCTACTCGTACAAGCATCTCCGCTCGTTTAGCGTTATAGGGCCTACGAAGCTAATAACTTTACATAACTACTAAGTCAAGCTGCTGGGAACCTTAGCTAATGGTGTGAATGGCAGGCTTTACTTCCCTTTTCTTTTTCACCACGAACTGTTGGGTTTCGTGATTGATTGGTGGGATGGCGATCCCAAAGTTAATTTACTCCTACATACGGGGCGGTAGTGGCTCGAGCCACTCATAGTTGATGGATGGGTAGCGTTTCCTGACCCCTCTCTCTTGTGCTTAGTGTATTTGTAGGTCTAGCCGGGCCATTGAAGGAGTGGGATAAGCCTCTATTTTCCTGTCTACGCGACCATAGCTCTCAAAGGCTCTCATTTTTTTTTACTGAAATTGTGAGCCCGGGTGAGGAGAAAAAGTGGTCCCTCCTATCTGATTTCTACTTGGAAAGGGAGAAACACCTGTGAGGAATGCATAGAGTCTTTCAAGCTCATCTAAGTAGAGCAGTTCTCGTACTTCCATGCATTCTTAAAGTATCATGGCGGGGATAAACTCCCCTGTATTACATGTCTTTATCTATTCCCGATATTAGGTACTGTTAGTGTTTTTGTGGGATAATCCTACATATATCCGCAGTTACCAAAGCAGCGTGACTTCGTTAGGGGCCCGGGAGAAATATCCATGCAGGGGCAAACCCGTTTCGAAGAGCCCAATAACAGTCAGCCTTTTATCATCTAGAAGGATAGTGCTAGAATGTTGGTTGGATGTAGGGAGCAACTTTCTTTTAGGTCCACATCCAGGATCTATCATGCAGTATCACTCGAGCTCTCCACCAATCTGCAGTTTCCGTATTCCAGTATTCCTGTGCTCTGTTGGACCAGACCTATGATTTATCAAATCGCCTTGGGTAGTTACGATACCCCTGGGTCTAAGTAATGGTATCAGTCAATACTTCAACACTGGCTCCCCCGATGAACGCCTGGGCTTTATCGCGGTAATTTTTAGGCAAGGTAAATCTAGAGCGATTACCACCTGTCTCCTCTTTTCTTCTCGTTTCTTAAACTGTCTCTAGAGCCTGGGGTTGAGATCCACCCGCGCAGAAGTCCGTGGCGAAATTAGACATCGCATTTCGGTGGCGTTCTTTTTTGGTTAGGGCTGGTGCCGCCCCATTGCAAGCATTATCCTACCTGGGAAATCGGTATCTGGACATAAATTTGTGGTATTGGAATTCTGAAATTTATAGTGTTGGAGACCAAAGCCATTCATACAAGCCAAGTCCCGGGGGTTGTACAAGTTCTTCTAGTTGCTCTGGGCCCAACGGTCTTCTCCAAAGAGGCCCAATGACCTTATCACACTGATGCTCGGGGGTACAGTGTTGGTCACTCGTTGAAGCCCCTATTTTCAGACCTTTATAAAGTATGATAGGGAGTTATCTTCCTCCCACATGCTTACTTTATTTTGCTGTCCCCGTGGACGGATATCTTTATGTGTTTGGCCCCCATAGATCCTGACACTAAGCACGTTACCGCCTTAATTCAAGTGTCCTCATGATTTCTCACGTCGGAAGCTTATGTCACCCAGTCTCATCGCTCCTCTTTGCTTGTATTGCGACCCGTGGCCTTTAGGCGGCTGTTCTACCTCCAGAACACCCCCGCTCCCTCCACTTTCCCATCTCCGGTCTCGGGACCACAACCGACAAAGCGAGCGTTCATTCACTCAGAATACGCCTCCTTCCACTTTCAAATTTTCTTGTCGCGTGTATACCAGCCACACTATCTTGCCCCTATCAAATACATTTCCCACAAAAGTCATCGTTTTACGAGCGGTCGCTGCAAAATTAGTATAATGAAAGTTTCATGTTCCCTGGAGAATAGGAACCCCTTGAAAAGGTATCCCTGACCCCTTACCACTCATTTAATTAGGATTAGGAAAGACTTAGAAGACTTACCATCAACTTCGTAGCATGTCCGAGGACCAGAGGAAAAGCGAAAGAAATGACTGCTCCGGTAACCCTCTGATAATGTTATCGTATGTTGTGCCGCCTCTCGGTTACAATGCCCGGGGAGACCCTGTTGTGCCTAGAGGGTATGAGGATCCTTTCCCGGGGTGTTTTAATCAGAGGCCGTTGAGCACTGCTCCAGTCGGTCTGTGCCCATCACAGATTGAGGCCGATCTCAGGGCCATGAGAGAGGGGGTGGCTGGGATGTTTGTGCGGTAATTGTGAGATCCGGGCTTTTGGGGTCCCGGAGGAGCACTTTGTGAATGGTATTGTGCGGTATTTGCTAGCACTAGGGGGTCATGGGTGTACGAGTACGGTTGGCATGAGAAGTTGTAGCTTGAAGAGTTGGTATTAATTTTTTCTAATTTCCAAACATAGAGTTTAGTGTTTCCTAACATCTAGTTATTTGATTCCCCTAAGGTATATTGTTTTCTGCAAAGCTATTTGTTTTATGCGAGGGGTGGTCATATCATCTCACTCGGATTTCTTCCGAAAGCGGTGTAAATTAAGCGACAGTGGTGCTTTGGGGAAGCGTTGAAGGTAGTCTATTAGTGCCATGACCCAAGCCTCATCGCTATTACTATTATTCTTATCAATGCCACCGTCAATCTGAGGCGCATGGGCTATTTTTGGCTACAGACTTCGCTCTCTCTCAGGTTCATGCCGTCTACCCTTTTCTCCTATAGCTGTAACAACTCGCATCGTAGCCCCCTCTCGACCCACTCCATCCACTTATCTTCTTAGTATCTTCTCTTAGGCTAGGGCTCTAGGGGGTTCCGTGTGGCTTGATCTGTGGTTCGAGAGGGAGGGGAATTCTGGAGGAAGTGGGTGTTTGGGTGTTAAATTGTGGTTTGGCTGCCTTGGTGATAGTCCACACTGGGTGTGATAATTTATGTTTTCGCCACCACGGAATGTTAGGGATCTGGTGCGTACATTTACCTTTGCCATCTGCCCACAACTTGCAATTCCAGGATCCACGGCCGAAAAATGGGCTTGATTTGCCCCTACGGTAAAGACGCTTGAAATCCGATATCTCCCTCAGCGCTAGATTCCTGGGATCAGAGACAAAAACCCTCGAGAGGGGTTGGCGCTTTTCTAACATAGTACAAGATCGGCCCATAGGACGTGCTGGATCTCGTTTCCTGTCCTCACAGTACTATTGTGTCAAACTGAGCTTATCGTGGGTCGACTCCTCGGTTTCCTCTTCTAGTTTGGTGGTGAGGTTCGGGGGTTTTGGCGGTGGGGATTGAGTGACTATGGGGAGGAAGCCCATATTGAAAACCGATTGACATGAGGTGCAAGAGAATCCGCCGGAGAAAGAATACCGGCATTAGCACCATTTGCCACGTGTTTTTTTTTTTTGTTTGGGAGATACCAAGTTTCGAGTCGTAACTCCATGCAAGTGGTGTCCACCCATCCCAGGAAACGGGAAATTCAAACTCGGAATCTGGATTTCCCGAGTAAAACAGGCTCTAAATGGCTCTAATTCTGGAAACCTTTCCGTTTTGAAGGCTTTTCAGAGCGGTCCGGGGATAGTGCGAATTCTGTATGTAGATTTGGGCATGGCTTAGCAGATATTTTGGCCTGGATTAAGGATGGTAATATTAGAAGTATTGTAATAAGGCGGGTGATATGGGGTCGGCGTTGGTCTATTTCGAGTTTAGAAGGGATTTTGGGAGGCTTAGGGGTATGGGGAGTGACCGGTGGGAGATAACAACTACTAATACTGCACAGTACACCATAGCCGACATGCCGTAGTTCATTCAAATTGGACAGGATGAGTAGATGTGAGGCTGGGGGGGGGGTTGAGTTGTAGTTTTGCTAGCACGGCGTAAACTGGTGAGACTACCGGTAGTTTTCAGGGTAAGAAGAGGTCAAAGGAGAGCGTGGCATAGGACCCAAACACATTTAAGCAGAGAGTAGCATTTAGGGATAGGATTATTATAAATATTTGCCATGGAGCGTCTTTTCGACTGTTTGCAATTTGTTGAAAGGGAAAGAACTAACTGAGAAGGCCACTTTGTGAGCCGTCCCGAATCACACCTAATTTTAACCTCTTAGCGTGAAAACGAGTTCCTTTGCCGTTATTTTGTGCTGTATCATAGCTGTGTGTTTTCAAGTGGCTACGATGGCAGTACGGAAAACTGGTTACCACTACCGGGAAACAACGGTGCAGGAGGAGTTACAAGCATAAAGTTCGGGTATGGATATCTCGCGGCATCAGAGTTGGCCAGGTTTTCGGCATTTTTGACGAGCCCATACAATCGCGATATCGTGGAATTTTTAAGGGGGGCTTCTATTGAATGCGGCTGAGATTGGCACATGAGCTTGAATCCGAGTGGTATGCAACAGCGGTTCCTTTAAAAACGAGTCGACGCTGGTTGCTCCAATGGTACAGTATACTCGAGTAGTAAAATACGTTGGTGGATCGGCAAAAGGTTGGGGGATCAGCTACTCTAAATTAAGGTATTAATTTATGCGGGACGGGACTGCGGTCTCGAAACCCTCGGAGGATAGCGAATACTGACTCGCATGAGGTATCACAAGCCCGGCTGCACTATACGGATAGCTCTGTGGGTACTGTGCTAGTTGGGATCGTCTTCTCCAATGATGCTGAAGGGTTACCGGTAGCAGCGGGTTGCGCTTCGATGGGGGAGTTGATCGGGAGCGTTCAAGGACTGACCCTGGGTTCAGGGCAGAACGAATGTTAGGGCGATGAAGTTCTTTGCGTTTCTTGACTCTGATACCATGATAGGTTTCACTCGGTCGTTAGCATTCGGAATGGGAGCACTGCCGGTGGCGCACTTTGCTGAGACAGACCCGGGAGGGAGGGGTGAGGCGGAGTTGTGGGGCACATGGCACGAGAGTTCCGTCGGAGGCGCATACCGGGGGTCGGGTATCATGAGGCCGGGAGGGGACTGCTATGGTGAAGATATTTTACTCGGAGTGTTTGCGACGGACGGTGGAACTGTCGTGAAGAAGCACATTCTACTGCGCATGATAAATGATTGGCCCTTCATGCTCGGCGTTTAGGCAGGTAATGGGGTTCTCAGCTCTTGGCTCAATTGACGGGCCTTGCTTAGAGTGGGGTATGTACGTGCAGTGGAACCCTCTTGTCCCGGAAAAGCATCACGATTATTGGTCTCTGTAGCGAAGTGATTGCTTGTTGAGTGAGTTTGCAGGGGGATGGATTGTTCTGGATGGACGAAGTGCACAATTGCATGCATGGGCGCTATACTCTATGATAGTTTTCCCTCATAGCGGGAGTTGGATCAGTTTCTGCCACGACGGGAACTTGAAAACCAATCAAGGGATCGAAGCTGGGTTGGCACATGACAGCCTCACTTTGTGGGTTATGTCAACTAGGGAAGTGCTCGTTGTTGGGTTGGGACTGATGGAGTGGGGTGGCCGGTAACCGCCCAATTATGCAAACTGGGCGAGAGAGTGATCCTGTGTCAGCATTTTTGTCTCCCGTCGCATCCTGCACTTCTGTGAGCCCCCAACTGGTGGATATTTTTGCACTTCAGACCTCAGCGGTGGTCTGACCCCCGGAATTGTTTCAGACTTTCGGCCGTCCCATCTTGTGCAACTTGAAAAAATCTCCAGCCTTCCTCCAAGATCCATGCTAACTTATCTGAAGTTTAGAAAATTGCAGATTCTGAAGAACCTGTATCACAACTCTCTAAATATAGGGTTAGGGCTACAAAAACTTGGGACGCTCTTGGCTTCATACTTTGGGTGAGCTTTCCGGTACTGTTTGCCTACTAACTTTTGTGCAGCCATCTCGCTATTGAAGTGTGATGCATGATATACGGCCAGGAAATAGAGGTTGCGCTTGACTTCAAGGCCTTGTACAGTGCTCGGCAAAGGTCGGTCGACTAAGGTCGCCCATGCGTGTCGCTTGACCTGACTCTCTATGATAGAAATCCCTCGTTACTCTTAAGAATTTTGGAGTTGGCGGTGTGGGAATTTCTGGCGCTTTTGGCATATCAAATGGTGATCCCATCGCACTAACTTACTGAACAAGTTTTAGATGTTGAATTCTTCTGACAAAGAGTTATCATAATAGCGTAGGGCGTGCTCCGGTTTCCCAAAGGCAATTTGTGTGGCAGCGGTGCTCTTCCCCGCCAACAATACCCGAGTAACGTGATGAATGTGGATTCCGGGTCACCCTTGATGGGTGCTTGCCGGGGACCTCTCGGGGGGTGCCGGGATCTGTGCTTGATGGAGGAGGAGAGGTGTTCCTTATTTTAACATTTTCCAGTCCGGCTGGACAATTGTATGATATCGGCTCAAGGGTGTGGTGGGGTCCCGTCGAGATTTCTGTGCCGTGGAATTGGTTGCATCGGGGGGAGAGCGGTATTGTTGTTTCCCACTTTTGCGGAGTCGGGTTGCGAATTTTTGAGTTTCATGCTAGGGATTTCGGGGGCTAATAATGTCCCGTAATGAGATAAAGTACGGGGA